AGCAAGTGAGTTAGGTTTCCTTGAGGTGTTCCTCAGGTTTTATTTTCCTTTCAAGTCGTCACGTTGGGGATACTTCTCTTTTCTGAGAAACCACCACAAAGGGAAATTATGCCGGACATCCTTGTTCTTGGAGGGTATCTGGAATCCCATTTCCTCTAGACATTCCTGGATTAGTGTTGTTTTCACGAAAACTTGGCACACCTGAGCCTTTTTTTGGTTTTCGGTTGACAGGTGGTTGTCTCTCTTTTTGGTACAGGCCCAAGTTCAAAGGCTATCCTTAGTCCTTATCCCCTTGGTGGCTTTCGGTGCCGCTGCCCTGGGTGTCCTTCAGGTCATCTGACACCATACAATAAGGGCTTTCCTATTCCCTTCTGCTTTTCGGCAAGTGGCTTTCCTATTCCCCAGTGGCCTTTTGGGCAAGTGAGAGAGCTTCAGCCTCAGGATCGTGTATGATAGTCAGCCCGACCACATTTGGCCAGCCGCCGGGACGCTGGACGACGCGGAGGTTTTGCAGAAAGACGTGTCTCTGCTGTTTGGCATGTTTGGGTGTGTGTGTGTGTGTGTGTGTGTGTGTGTGTGTGTGTGTGTGTGTGTGTGTGTGTGTGTGTGTGTGTGTGTTTGTTGTTCTTATTTGTTTTATTTGTTTGGTTGTTTGTTATTTGTTTGCAGTGTAATGTTCATTTGGTTGTTTGTTCATTGGTTGTATTGATGTTCTGTTTGTTTACCGTTCTTGGTCAGATTAAGTAAGTGTGGGGGTTCAAAGAATACATGGGTTTTGCTAACATACCAAGGGTTGCAAAGGTGTGGTACCGGGTGATTCACATCTGCTGCTCCATGATGCAGAACTGGTACCGCTTGCCTGACGACCGCTTGCCTCGCCTCAAATACGCGGGCTGAGCAAAGAAGAAAAGACTGCGCACTGGTGGTGTTTGGGGGGCTATGGAGGGGGGGGAGCTATCCTTGGATAAGCCTAGGATAAGCCAAAGCCCTCAATATGGCGTTATGAAGGGTTAATCAGGGATAGCCCCTGTGCGCCATAGCCCCCCCTACTGGGATAGGGTCGTACTTATAACTTGAGTTATAAGTTACTACAAGTGGACTTATAACGTGGGACAAGTGGACTTATAAGTTTGCTAAGTCCGAGGATAGTTATAAGTTACTTGTCTATGTTTAACTTAGATAGGCCCACTTATAAGTTCGAGCTAAGTTCCGGGTGCCGGGACTTAGAATGAACTTAGCTGGGACTTAGCTTTTTAGCACCATTTGAGGAAAACAGCCTTCGGTCATTCAGCGCTTGCGAAGCAATGTCCCAAACGCGTCTACCTCGCTGAGTCTACGTGTCTGCCTGCGTGCGAAAAAGCACGCGTGCGCTACCCCTGACATGTTGCGGACCACATCGCTGAACGAGAGAGAAAGCCTGACACCGGACTACGCGCGCGCGCATCATTTTTCGAGACGTACGGTCGCTCCCGGCTAGACCGCGCAGGGCGGAACACGGCGTAGCGGCGGCGGGGCCGCTTCCATGTTTGGAAAACACATCGCGGCAGGACCGCGCAGCGACCATCGCGGCAGGACCGCGCAGTGAGCCATCGCGGCAGGACCGCGCAGCGAGCCATCGCGGCAGGACCGCGCAGCGACCATCGCGGCAGGACCGCGCAGCGACCATCGCGGCAGGACCGCGCAGCGACCATCGCGGCAGGACCGCGCAACGACCATCGCGGCAGGACCGCGCAGCGACCATCGCGGCAGGACCGCGCAGTGAGCCATCGCGGCAGGACCGCGCAGTGAGCCATCGCGCATGCAGTTTACGCTGTTTGTTCGCGCTGCTTCGCACGCTTGGCTCGATGGAGCCGGAGCATTTTTTGCACTGATTGACTCGGTTTAATTTTGTTGTCCAATAATCGTTTCTATAGCGGTGTCTCCGCTGGCGGCCGGTCCGCCTTCATATAGTCGCATGGGGTGGTTTCTCCGCCGGCGGCCGGTCCGCCCATTTTGCTTTTCTCGTTTGATGATATATCATTGTAGCGGTGGTTCCGCTGGCGGCCGGTCCGCCAAGCTTTTTTTGCCACGTTCATTTTCATTTCGAGATGGCACTTGAAGCGGTTGTCCGCTGGCGGCTGGTCCGCCCAGGAATTGTTCGGCGTGATTTTTATTTCGAGATGGCACTTGAAGCGGTGGTCTGATGGCACCTTGCGATTTTTTGCATGTTTGGATTGTGAGTGCGCGGATGAAAGGCTGCAAGACTCAATCAAGGCTCCAGAATCCAGACTGCTGACTGCAAACTCCACACTCCAGACTGCAGACTCCAGACTGCAGACTCCAAACTGCAGACTCCAGACTGCAAACTCCAGACTCCAGACTGCAAACTCCAGACTGCAGACTCCAGACTGCAGACTCCAGACTGCAGAGTCCAGACTGCCAACTCCAGAATCCAGACTGCAGACTCGAGATTCCAGATTCCAGACACAATGACTCCTGGCTCCAGGATCCTGATCATTTTGTGGTGGAATTCGGCCACGGGGCCAAGTTAAGTTATGTTAAGTCGTGGTGACGCAACTGGGCCTCACGGGGAAAGTTTGGCAGTTAAGTTGATTGAGTTACAATAGGGACTCCACGGCTCCACACGACCCGCCCAGGTTAAGTTAAGTTAAGTTTTGTTAAGTTCGAAAAAACTGCACCGGCCTTTCCGGGCTTTGGGGCGGGGCTGTCTGGATGCTGGATTCTGGGGTCTGGACTGTGAATTCTGGAGTCAGGAGTCTGGATTCTGGAGTCAGTCTGCAGTCTGGAGTCTGCAGTCTGGAGTCTGCAGTCTGGAGTCTGCAGCCTGGAGTCTGCAGTCTGGAGTCTGGAGTTCTGGAGTCTGCAGTCTGTCTGTGGAGTTTGCATTCTGGAGCCTGGAGTCTGCAGTCTTGATTCTGGAGTTGGCAGTCTGGAGTCTGGAGAGTCTGGAGTTTGCAGTCTGGAGTCTGCAGTCTGGAGTCTGCAGTCTGCAGTCTGGAGTCTGCAGTCTGGAGTCTGCAGTTTGGAGTCTGGAGTTTGCACTCTGGAGCCTGGAGTTTGCAGTCTGGAGTCTGCAGTCTGGAGTCTGGAGTTTGCAGTCTGAAGTCTGCAGTCTGGAGTCTGCAGTCTGGAGTTTGGAGTTCGCAGTCCGGAGTCTGCAGTTTGGAGTCTGCAGTCTGGAGTCTGCAGTCTGGAGTCTGCAGCCTGGAGTCTGCAGTCTGGAGTCTGCAGTCTGGAGTCTGGAGTTTGCAGTCTGGAGTCTGCAGTTTGGAGTCTGCAGTCTGGAGTCTGCAGTCTGGAGTGTGGAGTTTGCAGTCAGCAGTCTGGATTCTGGAGCCTTGATTGAGTCTTGCAGCCTTTCATCCGCGCACTCACAATCCAAACATGCAAAAAATCGCAAGGTGCCATCAGACCACCGCTTCAAGTGCCATCTCGAAATAAAAATCACGCCGAACAATTCCTGGGCGGACCAGCCGCCAGCGGACAACCGCTTCAAGTGCCATCTCGAAATGAAAATGAACGTGGCAAAAAAAGCTTGGCGGACCGGCCGCCAGCGGAACCACCGCTACAATGATATATCATCAAACGAGAAAAGCAAAATGGGCGGACCGGCCGCCGGCGGAGAAACCACCCCATGCGACTATATGAAGGCGGACCGGCCGCCAGCGGAGACACTATATAGAATCGATTATCGCACAACAAAATTAAACCGAGTCAATCAGTGCAAAAAATGCTCCGGCTCCATCGAGCCAAGCGTGCGAAGCAGCGCGAACAAACAGCGTAAACTGCATGCGCGCGCGCGCCTGCCCTGCTGCGTTGAGTCACACGAAAATGTAATGCTTCAAAACGCATGTGTTTGCAAACTCAATGAACTTAGAATGAACTTAGCGGACTTAGAAAAACCTCTTTTCTAAGTTCAAGATAAGTTACTCATAAGTCCAAGCTAAGTGCTAAGTCACTTATATCTCCAGCGTAAGTACGACCCTATCCCAGTAGGGGTCCATGATGGAAAGTGGGGCCGGGCCGGGGGTTGCGGGATTGGAGGTTGCAGGTTGGGCGTCCCAGGCTGCGATTGTTTAAGTCAAGATATAACTTCTGGATGCGGATGGTGACGCTAAATCCAGAAATCGCACCACGAAATGAAACAATGGTTGAAACCATTGGCGGGTTGTATTTACAGTGAAATCGAATCATTCCAGGGTTTCTTAGAGGTGGCTCCTGTTTCTGCTTGTAGACGTCTGACCTTTCCCCCCCTTCTTCCGTGCTTTCAGTTGCCACAGCAGGCAACAGGGGAGGCCATTTAAAGACAAGACTCCAACTTCCCGACTTCCAGTGGTAGGAGGTTGCCTCGAGCATTTACCAAAAGAGTGTGTCGTTCTCATGCACATCCCGAGGTCTCGGTTTCTTTCCTGGAAGCATTTCAAGAGTTGCCTTCCAGATTTTGTCCCTTCCGTGGAAGTTGAGGTACAGTTGCCCGAAATATTGAAAGGGAACCGGGAAGCCTTCTAACTTACATGGTCGCTATAGTTGCCTGCCATTTAGGTTGCATCCACTGTTGGTGAACAAGCTAGCTTTTCTTTGTTGGCCTTTGCAGCCCAACATCGTGGGAGGGATTCGGATCCCATACGTATACCGGTACACGGGGCCTGCAACTGGTTTCCCTTGTTTTGCTTCATGTTCCCCCCGCCCCCCCCCCGCCCAGCTGGAAGTCTCCGCACCCCTCCGCTTCCGCTCAACCGCTCCGCCTCAGAGCCCACAGCTCTCGCGGTTGGGGTAAACACAAAAACTGAGAAATTCCTTAGCTTGGCGGCTCCCAGGCCTTAGCTTCCTTAGCTTCGCAGCCTTTTAGTGGTTCAGTGGTAGTTTCCGAATTTTTCAGCCACCAAGAGTCAGTCACTTTTGGCGGGGGGTCTGAAATCGGGCAGCCCAGTTGTTCAAAGGAGGGGAGGGGGTTGGGGGGGGTGGGCCGGGACTCCGTCGCCAAAAGACTCCCCACGCAGGAGTTCCAGGGCTACTGCTCCGCTTGCAGCCACAGTCCCTGTCAGAACGAGGGGCCAGGGGCCCCGGTTTCAGCGGCTTTAAAGAGGGGGTCCAAGGGAACCTTGGAGTACACCCATCCTCTGGGAGGTGACAGTTGCCGTGAAGGATATGGCTGTGGGTCAAGACCAATGGTATCATTTTGGTGTGGGTGCGCCACCCGCTTTAGTCTAATTTGGTGGGGATTGGGATGTTCACTGGGCTGGTCTAAGAGGTGACTAGGTCCCCCAGCTAGGTGCCCTTTCTAACCCTTTTTTTGGTTGGGAGGGTTCCCCTACCAAAATAGACTACAGAAAAGAGTTGGTACCCTTATTCTAGCCTCTCAACTGGAGGACCTAGGTGACACCCGCAGTGAAGGATATTCTTAAGGGGAGACCCAAGGCCCTGTTGATTCCGAATCCGAATCCGGGGTTAAGGTTTCTTAGAATCAACCGGGTTTTGAGAATGACCCAAGGGATCCCAAAGGACTACAAAGGGAATGGTTCACAGGCGTCATTCCCTCATGAGATCGAACAAGTTGATGCTCTTGTTTCCTCAGGTGGTACGTGTAGATCAAGCGGTCCTTTACATGACATGACCATTGGGCAGAGCCACCAAATGAGACAACTTTCCTGCATGGGAACAGCTACCCATTGTCAAACGGGGGCCGAACGGAATATTTGTCAACCCTCATGTTGGTGCAGGGTACCCCCATTGTTTTTGGGGAAAGACAAAGGGAACGCAACTTAGACCAACAATTTTGGGACGACTCTTGAGACGCTGCCATTGTTGAGTTGAGGCGTTGTGTTGAATCTGTGCTTCTTCCTTATCATGGCCAGCTCTGGGCCGGGGACGATTTTTCTAGTCCCAGTTGCCTTGTGGCACCTTCGCTTGTCCCTAAATGAACCAGGGCAGGTAGTGCTTCGGGCGTGTCACTGTCAGCTAAGGCGACAAACTTGTCAGGCTTGCCTCTTAGATGTTCGGCCAAATTAGTAGGTGGAAACAAGGCCACCTGGGTCAAGAGGGAGACTTGCAAGTGGCTTATAGCTTTGGTTCACAACTTACTTGGCCACAAACATCCAAGAACCGAGCGTCTTGTCCGAGTCTTCCAGAGTTGGGCCACGTCAAACCCAGACCTCAGTTAAATGGAACCCAAACAACCAGCAGGAGGATCCAGGTCAATTGGCAGTATTTACTAGCATAGTAGGTAACTAGCCGCTGTTGTTTGTTTATTGTTGGGGAACTCCTTCTTCGTGGGTGTGTCTTTTATTGAGGTAACCACTTGTCTGTGATTTTGGAATCGGAAGGAAACGAGGAACGCCAAACCCTTTTTGGGAAGCAAACCAGACGCACAAATGGATTCATGGGTATGATGAAGACCTATTGCATCATTTTGCCCCACCGTTCAGTTGGTGTTTTTAGGTCATAAGATAGTGGCGACCCCTACGATGCTTGTTTCTGAGGGCAACCATGTTTAAGGTGTTAAAGGGAAACCAATAGGGAGAAGAAAAACAACATGTTGGGAGGGGGCAAAAAGACACACCCATTTGCTTATGATATGGGGCCCGAAATATTTCCTTGTTGACTGTCTAAATTTGGTTACAATTTCAAAGTATTTAGGCCCTGATACTATGTCTTATATGCCTCTGTTTTTCTTAGGGGAATCACATCAACGGTGATTGGTGGGCCTCAAACTTCGGTTCACCGAATTTCGCTGTCCACCAAAGGGTTACACACCAATCCGTCTTTTTTGAGGGTACCCTTTTGGAGGTTTGAAAGGGAAGCCAAAAGGAAAGCCACCAAGCAAGACGAGCCACCCATTTGTTCCTTTGGCAACAGGGCTCCCAGTTGCTCGAGTCCTTCCGTCCGACGTGTTTTTTGTTTTCTACCACTGACCCCGGATGAATAGACCCATCTAATAGGGGGTGTGTTCCTCTCCAAAAAGTGATGAAGCCCCACTAAAAGCAGACACCAACTGCGAAGCAAACAGGGCTTCTACTCATTGCTCCGGGATGCCCTGAGGTTGGCTCTGACTGCAGTGAGATGGAGGGTACAGACACCAGGGGAGTTCATATTTGTGGTCCCTAAGGACTGCCGTCATCCAACTTGGGTTTTTAAGGCAATTCTTTTGTTTTGCAGGTTGAATCCTTTGGCCAATTGTTTGCAACGAAGTCAGCCACCCCTTCTTGGGTTGCCTTCAGAAACTCTTGCGCTGGATTGGTTTAAGAGGAATTATTAAATGGGTCCGTCCATTTGAGGGGGTCTTCGTTTCAACACAGCTTGCGAATTGCATGCCAGCTGTTGCAGGTACCGCTTCTTGGGTTCGGTGAACCCAAGTAGTAACAGTGACATCCCCCACCCACAAACCAAACATGGACACCGCCGAAAAATCGGGTGGCTTCCCCCTTGGCTTCCCTTCAAAACCAACCAAAAGAGGGTTCCCGCCACCTCCCCTCCCCCCCGAAAAAGAAACAAGCAAGCAAAAAGAGGCAAAGACCAAGACAAGACACCCGCTTGGACACCAGGGAGGACCTCGGTCCCGGCTTCGATCGCTCGAGGACGTGCAGCGACCTGCCGGGCTTCGATTACGAATGCAGCTGCCCTGCCGGATTTTTCGGCAAGGACCACCGACGAATCCCGCGGCTTTTTGCTCCAAAGAGGGGAGGGAAGTGAGTTCATGCGAGTTTTCCGCCTGCCGAGCGGGTGATTCTCAAAAGAGGGGCGCTTCTTTGTTTGCTTTGGTTGAGGGTTCATCAGGTTTGGGGGTTGGGTTTTGAGGATACCGAAAAGAAAACCGCTCATTTGGGGGGACACTTACCCAGCATTCCCCCGAGACGTTTTCTTTCCTTTGGGCTGCCCTTTAAACACAAACCTAAAGGGGGTCCGAAATCCCATTCTGAGACAAACTATTTAGGTCCATCATGGGCCATTTGGGATCCCACAAATTTTGGGACAAACCACCTACCAATTGTATAGGTGTCCATTTGAGGTCCATTCGCGTTTGGGAGTAGGGTTGACTTTCCCTGTTGGTTTTACAGGGGATCTATTACTGCAAATATATGTTTTTTCCAACAAACTTGAGCAAATGCAAGTAGAGGATACCCCAGGCACCGCTAATGGTAGTGCACCCTTCTGGAAAGTTCAGCTTGGGATCCCCAAGATATCAGTACTCGAGGGGTAAGTTTGCGTGGTTGCTGTTTGGTCCAAAACATGGTGTTTATTTTCTGAAGGACATCTAGGATGACACCGTCCACTGCGAAGGGGATCAAGGGAAGCAGCATTTGTGTCTTAACGCAATTTACAGGGACTACAACTAATCCTCTCTGCCTTGCCTATAAACCTTCCCATATTAATGAAACCCTTCCGCAGCCAACCCCAAAAGTTGTCAATACTTATTTAAAAATCACCAATACTAAACCAATACTAAAGAAACTCTCCCCCAGATTCACTCAGCGAAACTCTGCAGATGTGCTTAGTAGGGGTCACCCTGGTCTGACTCAAAAGTTGGTGTTTCCCTCGTAACCAAAGGGTTGCCTTGCGTGACAAGAGTCTCATTATTAGGGTCTTGACGTGGTTCCCCTCGAAAGTCATACTGAAACGTTGAGTTCTGAGCGCATTTTTCTCCAACCAAAACCAAACGGTTGGACTGCGTGACAATAGTTTAGTATTAGGTCTCCATTGGGCTCCACTCACATGCTCTCTTTTTGATAGCAAGCGCGTGTTTTTGTATTCTAGTTGTTAGGTGTTTTTCAGAAAACAATCAAGGGTGCCTTTCCTTTTATATAAAGTTCTGACTCGGAAATTGCATTTTGCGCAAACTCTTTGCAAAGCAAAGGGGTCCCCCTGCACCGTTTGATGCCAGTACCAAACAACGCAGTCTGAAACAGTTCTGGCCCAAAACCCGGCGAAACAATAAAACCCCCGGTTTGTTCTTTTATTTGGGGGGGGGGACGGTTTAAAAGAAAAGGGGGAAAGGATCATGTGGCTGAAGAGGTGGTGAAGGCAGGCTGCTTGGAAGACCTAGCTGCGCTTTCCTGCGGCCGACTTTGCTACCCAATCAAGATTTTGGGACCTTCCCCATAGGAGCTGCCCTCCTATATTGTCTTATATAGGTGTAATGTAGGCACTAATTTTGACTCATATTCGCTGACCTAGTCCTTATATTTCATGGGTTACATATTCTTACCAGTCACTGGCCCCAGTCATTCCCCTAGGTGTCCTTTTGGAAGAATAGATGGCATTCGTCAATTACTGGCGCACACCGACTCTGAACCAGGTTTGATTGACAAATCCCTTGAACAAGGTGGCGGGCAGGCCCCTCAGCCATGCAGCTGTAGTAACGAACTTCCTTTCAAATTCCGAGTGCTGACTTCCAGTCCCAACCTGACTCACTTCAGTTGTTGGCTTGTTCGAGACCCAGCCAAACCCAGCCCTAAACACCCCCCAAGATACTCAAACATAGGGGGTAAGTCAGAAAACCACGTGAATTTACAGGTTTTTGAACTTTGTTGTTTCAGTTTTTGTTCCTTTCGAGAGGGACCTTCAAAATCACAAAGGTACTGTTTGGAGGAACCCTCGACTCTTACAGTTGCTGTTCCTGTTTTTTTGGCAGGGACCCTCACCTTCTTCATGGTTGTTGTGTTTTTTCTTTTCGGGGGGATGGACCTTCAAAGCACACCGTTCTGTGGCTGGGGAACCCTCAAACCTTATAGTCGTTGTTTCTGCCGTTGTTTTGGTGAGGAAACCGACGAAACAGAACCAGCCCATGAATCACCTTTAGCCTTATATAAGGAAATATAGTGGGTCAGCTGGCAAGGCAAGTATGAAAAACCCTTGACCCAAGATGCCACGCTGCGGACAGGTGTAAGCTCCTACAAATGGGGCGCGGCGGCTGTGGGAGAGCGCACCTTTTGGATCAAACGCTGTCGCTCAGTGCAGCCAGCTTGCTGCTTGTTCCTTGAAAAAGGACGAAAAGCAAACGGAACTGATCCACATGTATGCGGCAATGGGCCTGCGTCGCTCGCATGAATTTTACCAGGTGCCGCTGGCGCGATGTAGGTCGCATGGGGCGACAGCTGTGCATGCGCCAACTTAAACGGGCGATCGGTACGGCGCAACCATGACTATAACCCACTGAACGGAGACTTAGAACCATGGGGTTTGCGGGTTATAACCACGGTTGCGTCCGTTTCTTTCCCCCCTACCATGCTGAAAGGCGATCCCGAATTTCGAACAACTGTCCACTTGGAGTACTCCCCTGCAGATTAAAATTGAATCCACAAAGATCGTGGTTTGTAGAGGACGTTCTTTTTGGGGGCCCTTCTTTGAGGTTCTAGCTTAATTTGCAGGGGAGTAGCTATCATCACCGCAGTTTTCGGATGTCAGGACTGCAGCAGCACGTCTCCGGTCGAAACGCGGCGGCTGCAGACAGCCGTGGACGCCTGCAATGTGACCAAGGCGAATGATCGACTGGCGCCCGTACCCGGGAACCTAAACTCTTTGGTGCGAGAGATGTAGGAAATGAGAAACGGCTTGGCCGCGAGATAGGCCATTCCTTTCTGGTGGTTTCCTTTCTTCAGGAATCCCTTTCGGGTTCGGGACGAACCACAGTTTCCCTAGTTCAAACTATCACCTACTTTTTGGTTGAACATCCAAGAAAAGTGTGGTCGTATACTCAAAATAAATCAGGGGGCATATTCCTATTTCCTGTTGTCAAGCCCTCCCCCCCGGCAACCCCAATATGGGCTAATAGCGGCCAATAGGACCAATAAAACTGTAATATTGTTGATGGACGAAATCCTGCACCACCGAAGAAACCGTGCAATGATGATTGATTCCCCCTGTAAATGCCAACGAATGGTTTCAACCATGGTGAAGTGGTGCAAAATGGATTTGTCCATCCACAGTAGGGTTTCCTTTTAAGTGCCATGTTTTTGGTGTCCGTTTTTTTTTGGGGCCTTTGCCAATGTGACTAGGTTTTGGTTCGTGGAGATCCATGCTTTCTTTCCAGGCATAGAAGTTAGAGGGCATCATGTTCCGTGAATTCTTGGCTTGTTGTGTTAGCAACGCGTATCATTTGAAGCTCTTTTTTTTTCATCAGCTCGCTCTGTGCGATGTTCGAGACTTCAGTCTTTGTTTGGCTCGGGCATGTTGAGTGGTGAAGAAACGGAATATGTTGGCCAACCCACCCAGGTTTCTGAAATTCCGGAACTCCGTGCCGGCATTAGATCCACCCAAGATCTCCACCTGCCTCGCGGAACCTCAGGCATTTGAAATGCGTGGTTTGTCTTTGTCCCTTTTGTGTTAAAAGGAAATGCTCGTGGTTGGCAACAGCATGTGGTTCTACGAGATTGGCCACGGGCAGCTGAAGTCTCCACGACCTTTCACAAATAAGGTTATATACCCAGAATCAAGAGTCATGAGTAATGACACCCTTTTTGGTTGAGGGTCATGGAGACTCCAGGTGCTTATTGCATTCAAAACGGCCCTGGTTCAAGCTCCGTTCCGTTTCCTCAGATGGTTGCATTAAACACGGCCGTGGTCGAGCCGTGGGTTTTTCGGTGCACAGATTTCGATCCGCGGACCGAGCGCGGAGCGCGGAGCGATCTCGCGACTTTTCATGGACGCGAGGTGGGCACGCAGTACCCGGAGGACAAGTACTGGTGCAAGTGCCGGAACGGCACGGAGGTGTCAGTGAGGCCGGACGTAGGGGGTTCAAGCAGCCAGTAAAAGAATCCCAGACGCGAGCCAGTTTCCAGTATATAGGTAACCAGCCATTTGGCAATTTGATCTTTCAAGGTTTCGGTATTTGGTTGCTTACTATAGGTAAATGGAATCAATGAGAATGGTTTGGCTCATATTTACTTTACTCCTGGACTCCTGGGTCAAGGGACCCATCGGAGATGCCCTTGACTAGAAATGAACACCGAAAATGATTTTACCCTTCCCACTGGCACCGACCAGTGGGCCCCTAGATGAAATTCCCCGATGCTGTGTCAGGATTGTTTAAATCCTACAGTAAGTTGGGATTGTCCAGGACGTTGCTGCCTCAATGTTGACGGACAAGATCCGCTTTTCACGAATTTTGGGAATGAAATCCAACTTGAATACCGCGATACACCACGAACCTACATGGATTTTGTCCATAGCCTTGCAAAATGGTTGGGACGCCACCCACGAAAGTTTCTTTCGTAGGTATCGTATCCCTTGCTTTTCGGTGGTTGGCTTCGGAGTAATCCGCAAAACCCTACTGAAAGGAAACAAGATAGATGATCACCTGGATTGCCAGTTGCGTTTTTTGTACATGCACTTTACCCCAAAACCAGCAACAGTGACTGAAAAAAGCGATCGCAACTTGGCTATTCTAGGCACCGAGGTACCTGGCAGATGAATTTCATCTAGGGGCCCACTGTTCGGTGCCAGTGGGAAGGGTAAAATTATTTTCGGTGTTCATAATTTCTAGTCAAGGGCAATGTCTCCGATGGTTGGTCCGTTCCAGGAGCAAGGTACTGGGGCTCCGATTCCCATCAAAAGAATGTCCACCAAGGGGACGCAATTTGGAAGGGGTTGGTCCGTTGACCCAGGAGTAAGGTACTGGGGTCGAAAAGGGGAACCCCTCAACAGTTTGGTCGTCCTTGGTGATTATCACCTCACTCCCGGCGAACATGGAACCCAAATTCCTATGGGTTGCCTCTGCCCTTAGTTGGAACTCAGAGGTTGGACATCAATCCCATGATGTCCACCATGTTTTTGGTTTGGAACTCATACCCAGGAACCCACTCAAAAGCCATCATCATGTTTGGAGGAATTTGTGGGGAACAAACCCCGCTTTCTGAGGCAAGTCGGTCTGAGTTTGGGGAGAAAGGGGCAAACGGGCTGTCCGTTTGTCTGGTGGCAAGAGTCACTGTGCAACGCATCCGGGGTGGAAGCTATCTTAGAGCCACCAACTCAAGATCAACACACGCACCCCTCAGTTGGTTTCCTGGTAAATGCTGCTTTGTATAGATTTGTCTCAAAATATGGGACGCCGACACTTGTTGGCTTCCCTTGGTTCCTAAGACCAACCAAAAGTGGGTACCCCCTACACAAAGAAACCTATTAGCAAATTTGTGTGCCTATCACGTGGCTCCTGTATTTCGTATTCTGCAACACGTCGTTAAATGTGAATTCGCTTTGTCCAAGTCCCTTCTGTGCCGTCACTTTCTCCGAGCTTGCGACTTCTTTCCCCAGTGTATGGGCTCGTTTCGCCAGGTCGAATCTGATCGACGTCATCAAGAACTGGGGAGTGTTCTTCAACTATGCTCGCGGCCTCAGTCGGGTTGGCGACATACTCTCGACAAACCGGGTTGGTGCCGCACTCTCAACAAACAATTCCAGTTGGCCACACCCAAAGCCCAGATAGTCCCAACCATATACAGGTGCGGCTGCCATGCGGCCGCCTTTTCATTCTTTACCATGGGCCATGGGTTCTGGGTACACCATTTCAATACCGAGCGGTTGTATTTGTGACTCAGTTGCCATCCCACTCTGCCATGGAACCTGAATTTCAACAACGTTCCTCTTGAGACCTCTGTCAGGCAGGGTCCATCGCTGTCAGTCTTCACCCCGGGTAGTCTTGCGTCCTAACAAGCCATGTAGTGACCCTCTTGCATGGGGTCAGAAATCCTTTGGTATCGAGGGACCCTGATTGATATTCATGTTCGTAGTGTGGTTCAGAACTCTAGAAAACAGTTTGGATTTGCGCTTGTTTTTTGATTTCACCTGGTCTTCCCCGTATTCGCACCCTTTTTTACAAAAGACACATCCAACCAGCCAGGTGACGAACTTCAACTACAGCTATACCGACATTACCTGCGCCGATGCCAGCATGAAGCCTCCCCAGCCTGTGGGCCTGTGGGTGGCTGACTGGATTTTCAGGGTTCAAGTAGTTGTTTGGGGGGGGGAGGGGAAATAAATGAAGTTCGCTTTAGCAGCGAGAGAACCCTGGTTGATGGTTGTCGTGGCTGGGAAACCAACTTGATTCCCTTGGGCCGCGGACATCAAGGGGCGGCTAGGAGAAGCCAAGGATACGCCTTATCGAGGGGTCAGACAAGAAATGAGCGCCTTGCTTTCTTGAGGAAGCTGACAGCCAGGACCCTAAGTGACCCACAAAGGAAGATTCCTTTTGCGAGGCTTGTTTGGTGGGTTCCCCTAAGGGGGCACTAAATCTCACAGATGGGTTCGACGCTTCACAATCTCGTTTTGAATGTCAAAGTTTAAGGCCAAAGGAAACCGTCGCCACTTTTCGGGATCCATTTTCCAGTTGCCTTTTGTTGGACACTCTTGTTTTCCAGTGCCAGCCCGTTGAATTCGTTCCCTTGTCTCGGGAGTGAACCTTCCTGGTTGCAACTAGGACACGCAAATGGCTCCGCGTCGTTTTCCCTTTGAACCAACTCCATGGTTTTTCGCTTCCTCAGATGGACTCGAGACGCTTGCCAGCTTGGTTTAAAGGGACACCAACTGGAAAACCACCCATTTTAGGGCCCCCGGATTTTGGTACATTGATTATGGCGGTTTTGGTTGACGTTTGGACTTTTACTTGTTGGGAAACAGGTGGGATTTTCCGCTGGACCTACAAAAAGCTAAAGCTTTTTGCAGAGGCTAACTCAATAGTTTTGAGTAATGGCCAATCCACTCGATGGGATGTGAGAGACAGATTGCCTCCAAAAAACGCGCCGCGCCCCACTGGCCATGGGTCAAATATTTCCAATGGGATCCCATTTTGGTTGGTAGTTCGGTGAATTCACCCCCCCATTTTAGAACCGAGTTTCGTGCTTGGATTGGCCGCCTGGCACGTTCCCTGGGGATTCGCTTTGAGTTTTGAGCCACAGCCCAAGCACCCGCTTCGTTCGCCGGGCGACGTGCAGCCGGCCAGTGTGAAGACGACCACCAGCCGGGTGAAGTTCACCACGAGCCTGAGGACCGGACGAAGGGCTCGGTATGTGCCGCTTCCACGGGTGGCTCTAAACGGCCAAGTTTTAACTAGGTCCCCCAGCGAGGTGCCCTTTTACCTTGTCTTTTTTGGGGGAGGGGCCTCCCCTGCTAAAAAAAACTATGCAGAAAGCAAGGGTGCCCTTGTTCTAACCTCTCTACTGAAGAGCTTAGTTGAGATGAGCTTCCTTTTGGCCGGGTGATGCTGAAAGGGCAAATGCACATGACTGGTTTGGTGTGAAGGAAACACTCCTTAGACATTTTGAAAGCGAATGGCTTTTCCGTTCCACAAAAGGTTGAGCGACCTGTTGCTGAGAAGGGCTTGGAGCAACGGTGTGATGCTGGAGAAATCGGGAGCCCCCTGCCCTGACCTCTACTTGGGTGTTTTGGCGAAGTTAGTAAGTTGTGAGTGACCCAAGTTACAACCCGCTTTTTGTGTGCCCCGTTCAGAGTTTGCCTTGTTATCAGTGGGTTATACCCCCAGGTGGCCTTTTCCACGTACTAACTTGGCAGCGGACATGCACGTAGTTTGTGGTGCCAAACTGTCAAGAAGTTGGTGCCTTCCGTGGAACACCAGGCCCTTACCAACCAGAAATAGTGGCCGGCCTTAAGGGTATGAGCAAATTGAGGACCCCGTTTTGGACCTTTTGGAAACAAATGGCTTGTCCAAGCCTGCAACAGGTCTTTTACCCAGCTTTTGCTCGGAGCAACCTGGGAAAACTGCCCAAAACTCTCCAAGTTCCCTGAACTCTCCAAGTTCCCTGAAGCCGCCCATGGGTGGAATTGGTTCCGTTTTCTGGCCCTTTCTTGGGGGAGTTCCGGTACTAAAGTAGACGTTTTCAGACAAGTTGGTACCCTTATTCTAACCTTTCTACTGGAGGACCTAGAAAATGGGTTCACGAACCAGGGTACCTTCCCCACCCTTTCCAGGGATCCTTCTTTTCAGGAAACCATCGAAAACTCAGGGAAAACAGCCGGTTTTTAAAGGACGATGGTTGGAAAGAATGGGGAATCAACGCCTAGAACATTTCCCTTGGCGGTTTGAAACATCACCCTGCCCCATTGCTTGCCCCAGGACAGGCGTGGCTCCCAATGCGTCCGCTCCTCGACTCCGCGAAGAAACAAAAAGAGCCAGCCACGTGTGGCTGCCAGAAATTCCTGGTCACACTTGGGTGAAAGTAGTTGGAAGAAATATACCTATGTGGGTAAGTGAACGGGGTGATTTATTTATATCAATTTCATTGTCATCCCCTCTTGATAAGTGGGATGGCTAAACTAACATTGGGAAGTATGGACAACATGCTGTTTCGCCTTCCAAAGCACAAGAGTAGAACATTGGGTTGCTTCCCTTGATACTTGCTGGGTATTGGGTGACCCGTTCAAAAAGAAACCACATTGAACCTTTGTTTGAGGGCAAGTTTCCACTGATATCCTGGGGCCAAGTTTCTAGCAGAAGGACATCGTTACACATGTTATAAGCTCATAGTTGTGACTGAGTTTGTACCCCACCCCCATTCTACTGTTTTAGCTCCTTTTGTTGCCCTTGTGTCAGGGTGTTTGCCGTCGAACCTGGCGAGTCGAATACCCAAGTCGGCCCGAGCTCTGCAGGCCATCGATTATCGACCCCCCCACACACCCCCAACCCCACACACACACCCCCACCCCCACACACACCCACCCCCACACACACACCCACCCCCACACACACACACACACACACCTCACAGACACACACACACACCCACCCCCACACTCCACACCCCCACACCCCCACACACCCACACACCCACACACCCACCCACCCACCGACCCACCACCCTCCCGGCTTCCCGCAAAACATTCGCGTAGCGGGAACCACATGACATGTAAAGAGGGTTTCAGTCGGCTTTCTGGGGATCTCGTTCAACCTGGCCAGTCCTGGTGAGGAGAAACAATCCTGGATTACTATCACAGCATGCTATGGTTGAATGCAACTAGTTTGCTGGCAATTAGAAGATTCCAGCATAGGCAAGATGCGAGTTACTTGGAATCCACCTTCAACAGGCTGAATGTATACCTCCATATCGGTGTGGCTTAAAATAGGGGACCACCAAAATGGGTGGTTGTCCCTTGGTTCCCCCTTTAACACCAACCCAAAAGGTGTTCCCCCAGAAAAGCGCACCCATATTTCTGAAGCCCTGGTATGAGCCTATTTGAGTAATCCACGAACTGCAACATTTCCGGCTTGATGTTTGGGAAGCCGGCCAAAACTAGGGACCTTCCTTCCGGCGGTTGGCTTCCTTCTGGTTTCCTGTTCAAAACCCATGCCACCGGGGCACCCCCCCGAACTTTACACTTCTTGTGCAGACAATGTTAGTGGAACAACACCAAGCTTGCTGTATCTTTGCCAATCCACTCAGGAAGTGACATTTTGAGAAGCTCCCCCATGTACAGAGATCTCACAATCAGCCTTTGAACAAGAAGGCGAGCAATTTAGTAACCCTAAGGGTCATGACCCCTCCAATGCACACCCCGGCACCCTCCAATGGAGAACCCCGACCCCTGACCCTTGAATTTCGATTCTATCGAGGTCCACCAACATCCTCTACATCCAGCAGCTCTACTGGGGCAGCGGGCTGGGACACCTAGCCCTATGCTTGGATGTTCGCTTCGCCAAGTGAGTAGTTTGTTGGTAAACCTCGGCTACAACCTGCATGTCAGTGCCCCTAAGTGGAGTTGTTCAGTTGGCCTCGTTATTGGTGACTTAAAACCCATGTCGGTCTTTCCACTTACGAACTTGGGCCCAAAAATGGCCACAGCCTGGGTTGGCCCGCGTCCTGCATCTCAGCTCTGAGCTTGTCTACGTGGATGCGATAGACAGCAAATAATTTGTTGGCTTGCTCGACGGCGAATTTCATTTCGAATCTGTTCTTGGCGGTGGGAGTTGAACACGTCAAAGTGGACAAGCTGAAAATACAGGCTGAAAAGGCGGAAGGCTGCTACAGATTTGATTGAGGATCTCAAGAGAAGCAACATCAGAGCACCTTGGAGCAAACTGGCAGAGAGAATGCTGGATGGACATGATCCTTTGAATCTGTTGAATTTGCTCCAAAGGAAACCAAAAGGGATGGGTACAATATGATGTTGCATCAATTTCTAATGTTTCAATGGTGGCAACTGAACACAAGGGTGATGAGTTTGGCAGTTGTTGGGTTCTTGGGGGAGGCAATCCTCCTGGCACGTGAATCAGGTGTGGCCCAGTTTCTTGACGGTTTCAGAGAGAAAAAGGAAGCAACCAGGGTGTTACTACTTGTATGCTCAGCCAAGTTAGTAAGTGGTTAGCCACCTTGGTTGTAAGCACTAACGAGGTCAACTCCACTTAGAAACCAAATAGCCGGGTTATAACTTAGGTTGCTAGCAACTTACCAACTTGTCCGAACACCCAAGTACCAAGGTCATGAAACGGGCATGACTGTTTCTTGATTGAAGTTTGGCACGGAAAGTCAAATCATGGGGTACTCGAAGCTAAGTTTTGACCCAGCTGGGACAATACTGTTTGGTTTTAATTCAGGAAGGAAACGAGACACCCTATTTTTACCGTACTCTGCCAAGGTTTTGTGGTTTCAGCTTGTTCTCCAGCGGGTTATCAAGCAGGTGGCCTTTTCCACCCTCTAACTTGGCTGGCCGAACAGTCGTACGCGTGAGCGGCCTTTTCGTTTTTTGCGTCTTCGGAGGTTCGGGAGGAACCCGCCCTTCTACGTCATGGTGTCCGGGCTGGCGGGCATCGAGCGCATGCTGGTCACCGAGATCCAGGCCCGAAATAGTAGACGACATGCCCCTATTTTGACGCCGGTTGGGTCAACCCCGGATCGATCAAAGTAGAACCTCAGGTTGATGAAAAAGGGGGCTTTCTTTTTTGTGGGGATTCATCACTTTTGAGGGAACCCCCCTATATACAAATATATATATATATACATATATATATATATATGTATATATCCGGAGTGAGCATTACCTTGGTGTTCGGCCGAGTTAGCCACCCGGTAATAACCCTCTCAGAACCTTAGCGGGGACTCAACGAACAGCTTACTATTTTGGCCAAGCACCCAAGTAGTACATGCGTGTGTGTGTGTGTGTGTGGTGTGCGTGTGTGTGGTGTGTGTGGTGTGAGTGCGTGAGTGTGTGAGTGTGTGAGTGTGTGAGTCTGTGAGTCTGTGAGTGTGTGTGTGTGTGTGTTTGTTTTTCCTGATGGCTTGTTCAGGCTAGTTCAACGGGAGCTTCTAGATATGGGCGTGTCCTTTTTTGTAACCCCTCCTGCGGACATACCCTAAGACAAGATTGAGAACATACTGTGGACGGATCACTATGACTGGGGATATACCGCTGACCAGCTGGTGTGGATTTTGTCCATGGTCATCTCCCTTCTCGGGTCGGTTTAAATGAAAGCCAAAAGGCTAGCTACCGGTTTGGCGAGCACTTCGCGTGCGGGTGTGTCTTTTTTTGGGGGGTACCCTTTTTGGGGGGTTGTGGAGGGTCCCCTGAAAAGGATACAGCCACATGCAGCAAGATGGTATAAATCTTGTCTCCAAAGGCCGCTTACCGAATCGCCCCATGGAAACACATGGCTTTTCCATTAGTCAAATCGACCTTTTGCGTAGGGCTTGGAACAAGCCAGTGTTCACCATTGTCAGTGCTTCCAGGTGATTCCAGGCAAGCCAAGAACGGCAGGTCACCCGTCGTGGTAAGTGGTTGGCCACCTGGGTTATAACCCGCTCACAACAGGGTCAGCTCGACTTAGGGGGACTTATAAACTTGGGTTGAGAACTTACTGACTAGGAACATCCCGGGATAACCTCCATTCAGGGAAATCAACATATTCCCAGTAGAGCTACCCTCCCGCCAATTGACATGGAACCTGACAGGGGGGTCCTGGAAGACCATTTTCCTTCGAAAGGCACCGCCGAACGTCGGGTTGCCCTGTCTTACTTGGAGGGTAGACTCCCTTGAAAAGGCCAATTTTCCTTGGAAAGGGACCCCCTGTCCATGGTTTACTTGGTGGGAGGCTGTAGATCCCCTTGAAAACCAACCGGGGAAAAACCAGTGGTGGCGACTCGAACCCAACCTGACGCTGCCAAGCTGACGGTCGCTCGCCAGGTGCCGGACCCCAGTAGCACGGACTCCTTTGCCCTGGAGGTGGCTTGGCTTCAGTGCCGTTTTTGCTTGCTAGGTCCCCCAGTAGTGCCCTTTTACCCATTTTTGGTGGAGGGTTCGCCTACTAAAAAAGACTACAGAAAAAAGGGTACCCTTATTCTAACCTCTCTACTGGAGGACCTAGCTCGGCTCCCCCTGTGAGAAGTGCCGGTGTTGGGAGGGATCAGGTTGGCGCTCGTGGAGATGAGATTGGTTTGTGGTTGCACTAGATTGGCTTGAAGGGGTCAGATTGACTTGTGAGCAGTGTTTGGCTTGGCTGTCCCTGCAAAAGTTGTTTCTGGGAGTTTTGAGTACGACAACAGCCGGACCGCCAGCGGTTCATGGCTTTTGTGCTCTTTGGAGGATTTTGGTGTCCACCAAGTTTCCAATTTTCCCCAGTCAAATAAATCCACTGGAGGTCTGGAGACGTGTAGCATCAGAAGGAGTCTCCTGACGAAAAATGGGGTCACTGAGATTTGGGAATACCCCAGTTGTAAAGGGTCAGCAGGAGACTCCAGGTCACTGGCCAAGTTGTTTGGTTTGAATACTTCTTGGGTAGGCCATTTTGTTGATGGGTACGATCAATCATGACACGTGGTTCTCCCTACAAATCCCTTGCCCTTGCCACTTCGACTCACCTTGAAAGGACATCAAGGACGCTTTGGGCTCCCCATATTGCCCTTGGAGGTTTTAAACAGTTTCTCGCTCAACCTGAGTTATGTTTCGGGCTTTAGTCGCTTATTGGGTCTGCACCATGTGAGTGGCAATGGTAAATATTTACTGTCTGCTGAGGAGATGCTAAGCAAATTTTGTTTTTTTCACCTTTGAGACAACCAACAAATTGGACTATATTGCTGTATAATATATGTATAATATATATATATACAAATTTTCTTTTGGTCACAACAGGTGATCACCTTTGATTTGTGTTTTTGGTCACTGAGCAAGTCAGCACGGGGTTTGGGTTGCCGTTGCTGGACTCCACGCCTGACGACCAAGGCTGGAACTTTGGAGTTAATCTGAAAAACTTTGACCAATGTTTGGCACATTTTGGTAGTTCTAGTAGGTGGTTCTCGTAGGTTCTAGTGGGTTTTAGTAGGTGGTTTGTTGTTTGTAGGTGGCTTGGGATATAAGTAGTTCTAAGATTCTAGCAGGTGGTACATTTTAGTAGGTGGTAGATGTTATAGCTTTTTTTATATTTTGGTACAACCAAACGTCCATAGGCCTTTGTCAGTCAAACATGGACAGGCTCACTTGCCCAAAGCGAATCCACCTTTTGATTTTAGCTTTTCCCATCTCTAAAGTTCCAGCGCCCAACTCTACTCCACCACTCCAAGCCTACGCCAACTCCCCCAACTCCACCCCAAGTGGTGTTGGGGGAAGTGGGTCCATTTTGGGTCAACCCAAAAGGTTGCCCTCCCTCCACAGCGTTTGCCAGCTCCGTCCCTAGAGGAAATTGATCTTCCCACAAACCTGCCAGGTGCCTTCTGTTAGGGGACGAGGTAACCATTTGGATATGGGTCAAAATCAAACCAGGATATGGACCGCAGCTTTTAGTCCTGGGTTCCATGTAACAAGGGCAAGCCATTTTGGGTACCCATTTCTTGTACTCACCCGCATTTATGTCCGGTTTCTGACGCAGGTGGTCAGGGACCTGGACGGCTCACGCCTAAAGTTCGACTTGACGGCACCTGCCTCAGTTTTTCGGCGCGTGGGTAACCGTCACCTTTTTTCGTGGTGAGAGTCATCTTGTTTGCTGATTTCCCAACTGGTCAGTTTGGGTTTCCCAAATGGTCGTCCTAGGTAAGGGACGTGGTCATCCCTTTAAGAGGAATTGTTGATCCACCCCTAGGTTTGTTGCTATATATATATGTACATATATATAGATATACATATATATATACATATCTACGTACCCCATATAGATCCTTAATTGTGCAATGGTCAAAGACCGGTTCCTTTGCTTGGGGGTGGTTGGGGTGGTCATGGACCCCTTTACAAGCAATATAGACGACCATGATAATATATTTTAAGGAACCATGACCATGGCCCACCATTTTGATCCATATGGGTGTGATTATTGTTGTTATATATATACACATGTGGTACAACATATATACTTTGGTGCATTTTGCTTGGCTGTTAGGACTTTAACTTTTTGCCAATTAAGGTGTTTTCCATTAAACCGCTAAAAGTTAAACTTTTAGCAGGGGAGCAGAAAGCAACCCAGTATATATATATATATACACATGTGGTACAATATATATATATATATATGTATATAGATGGTATGCCGTCCAAAAGCCCCCCTTGCTTTCTCAAAGCAGTGAGACTGAATTCGGCCATTGCCTCAATGAGTAATCTTTGGAGTTATCCCATCCGCTACTGTGGATGGACGAAATCCGTTCGCACCATGTTGACACCATGGGTGAAACCATAACGTTGGTTAGTATTTTGCAGGGGAATCATCATTCCAGGGTTTGTGAGACCATCCGCAGCAACATGCAAGCTGAGGTGCTGGAAGACCATTTTTCTTTAAAAAGGACCCTCTGGTGGGTTCCACGTTGGGTGTTCAGGGGGCTCGGGACAAATCGGCGCCTCAGCTTTGCCCTGTCTACAGTCCTTGTGTTTTTTTTTACAGTGTGCAATGTTGAATGACCCTGCTCAATCACTAGGTCCCCAGTAGTGCCCTTTTACCGTTTCTTTTTCGGGGAGGCCCTTCCCGAACTAGAATAGAGGTCCTGAAAAAAGAAAAACGGGTACCCTTATCCTAACAGAAGGGGTCGTCATGGGGGCTGAGTTTTTTCAGATTCCTGGGGGCTGAGTTTTTCAGATGCCTTTGCTCATAAACACCAAGAAAACCAAAAAAACAAAAAAACACAGCCCATCATCTGCATCTGCTAGTTCAGGGCCATGGGTCTGTTTTTTTTTGTTTTTTTTTGGTTTTTTTGGTGCCTTTGCTCATAAACACCAAGAAAACCAAAAAACACAGCCCATCATCTGAAGACAATACTTTGTTGATGCTTTCTTGATGCAAGCTTTCTTGATGCAAGACATCAATAATATGATGAGATGCGTATCAACAGAACATAAGCCTCTTCCAAGATATTCTGCAGGTAACTCCAGGTAACTGGAGATAATTTATCTCATCTCTCATTTCATCTTCTGCAGGTAACATCTCATCACAAGCAATTGCTTGTGGCTTGTGTCTACTTGAATCTATTCTGAACAGCTTTACTGTTGCAAGAGCTCTTCAGCAACACGAATAGCTGCAGAGAATCTTATTCCAAAGCTCTTATTCCAAAGCTGAACAGCTTTGTGCAGAGAATGGTATTTGCATCTGCAGATATCGTTGCAGGTGCTCATCTTTGCATCTTGTGCTTCTTGAGCTCAATCAACTAGATTGGAGCTGTGCTCCAATTGCTCCAGCTCATTATGCGATAAATATGTTTGTGTTAGCTGTCTTTTCTCAAGAGCATGGGCAGAGCCCATGCGTGTATTGTAAAATATTGAACATCCAACTGTAAAAAGAGATGAGTCTTGCAGCTGAAAGCTGCATAGATCAGTGATATCTTACCTTTCTTATGATTTCATATGCGTGGCAAGCTGTGCTTGCCATACTTACGTGTTTCAGAATTGCAACACAACAATAATATTTGTCCCAAACATACATCTGCTTGCAGATTGCTAAGCATACGTCTTCCAAAATATTGCATACGTATGCAACTTGTTGAAGATTTGTGCCAAACATACGTCTTCCAAAAGTTAGCACCCTGAGGTTGATAAACTTGGCATGCGTAAGCATGCCAATTATCCAAAAAAAGGCTACAGACACACGTTTGCTAAATATTTGTGTCCAACAATGATATTTGTGCAAAATAGTTCTCAACAGGCTGTCTTCTGTGCAGATTGAAGCTAGCTCATTTTCCAGGTCTGGATGCATCTGAGTCTTCATTGGATCGAAAATGAATCTGTGCTTGCATGTCATCAGCCAAAAAAACAAAAACGCACCCCAATAAATCTAAGAGGTCACGGGTCTTGATCGTATATTGTTGGTATTTTTTAGTGTTTTTAATGGAAAAACTCAGCCCCCAAGAATCTGAAAAACTCAGCCCCCAGGAATCTGAAAAACTCAGCCCCCAGGAATCTGAAAAACTCGGCCCCCATGCCGACCCGCCCTCTATCCTAACCTCTCAAATCTGGAGGACCTAGATCACCTGCCACCCGCAGAGGTCCTACAGTAAAGCCTCTCGTTTTTGGTGTGAGGGTCTCGAGGAGGCATGGCCTGGCCTCTGAGATCGAGGGCTGAGTAGCCACATGTAGCTGTCCAGCGCTGTCTGTGTTTTTGGCGGTTTTTACTTGGTGGCTCCCAGCCATGTGGTTCCTCATCTTTTTCAGCATGTTAGTGTCCATTTAACCCGCTAAAGGAGAGTCTTAGCACGGGATCTGAGGGCAGCCCAGTTTATGTGAAGGATGATGCCCCCTTCGCATCATTATTACGGTGCATCCGTGCCACACAAGGTTTTGCTTTGGCTGCCGCCAAAAAAAAGGCACGAAACCTACTGAATATCATGAGCATGCCCTCCTCGAGTGGCCCAAAACCCCGTTTCCAAGCATTCCCAAGCTTCGTATCCCCAATTCCCGTTAAAACCGATTGCTTTTGGGGGTTCTACTTAAAGGGGCGATCAGGTGCTTAGTAAGTGGTTAGTAAGCCTGGTTATAACCCACTGAACGGAGACCTATAACTTATAACCATGGCTTTTGTGGGTTATCTCACCAATTAACCACTTACCTGAGGTGCCCTGCATCGCCCTGCGCTTGTTGCATGTCAAACAACTGGGGCGGGACAGTTACTGGGGCATCGCCCGGCCGTTTTCCGAACCAAAGCTCGACCGGGCCGCGGGCGGCCCCAGGATCCCGGGGACCCTCCGGCAACGCCCACGAGCCAGTGGATTTGCCATGCCAGGCTTGGCCGAATCGGACGGATCAAAGTAGGACCCATCCTATCGGCCCTAGGGTTCAACCGATTCCCATGAACTCACTTCCCGAGTTCCCGGACTTACTTTTTGGGAAGACCAGTTTGGTGGTAAATAACAAGTTTGGACTTTTTTGGGGGCATCCACTTGGGAAGTGAGCTAAAAGAATGGCAAGGACCCAATTGGTTTGAACCTTGCCCGCGCCTGGTCTCAGGCTTGTCGAGTTCGCATGGCTGACCCTTCAGCCAGGACGAGTTTATCGACCTGGCAGACTCGGCTGACGGTGCTTGCGCCACTTCGAGCAAGGGATGACGACCAGCTTCCAGTTCGCGCAAACGACCAATTGGCCTGCAAGGTTTGCAGCAGCACCCTGAGGACGACCTTGCTACAGACTACTCCCAACAGGAAGCGAAGCGAAGGCTCAAATCTCGCGAGCAATCCGCCCTCTACCTGGACCCCCAAAAGGACCGGTTCCTTATTTCTGCCTGTGTACCCGGGTCATTTCGGCAGAAAACAGGAGCCGGTCCTTTGGGGGTCCAGGTATAGCCCGTATGCCCCCGGAACTTGATGTTGCAAGATCCGGGCGCCGGCAGCCCGAGATTGGCGCGAAGCCCAAATCCCATCTCGGCTCACTTGTACCTACCTGGAGTCTCCATGACCCTTTAAAAATGGGGCAATGACCCCAACATTTTGGGTAATGACCAACCATTTGTCAAGGGTCATGGAGACTCTAGTAGTGTTGACCCCGGATTCATAAGCCTGGTCGATTTTCATCGGGGGGTGTCCAATTCCTTTTAGTGGGGCTTCAGGCCACTTTTGGAGGGAACACCCCCCTAATAATGGGACGGGCGTATTAATCCTGGGTCAACATTATTTCAATTCTTTTCTGCATGTACTGGGCTATTCATACAGCAGGCAAATGGAACCCTATTCTGATAATGGTGGTCAATCATTTCAGGGATCGAGTTAGTGTGTTGTTGAGGTCTCTCTCTCTCTCTCTCTCTCTCTCTCTCTCTTTCTCTCTCTCTGGCGTTCAGCGGTCCGCGTCGCCTCATGCAAAACAAATTCATTCAGAGGGTCATCCCTGAACATCAGGCAGCATGACGCTATCGGCTTTGTTGAGCTAAGTTATACACCGTTTATAAGTTGCCCCAAGTGGAGTTGACCTGGTGATGGCTTGGAGCCGTTGCACTTATTGCTTGGAGGTTTGTTGGCAACAAAGGCCACCTGGGTTGCCAGGTTAGCTCCTGCAAGTGAAGTGGGACTTGTAAACAGATTATGGCTTTGGCAAACAACTTACTAACTTCTGCTAACTTGGCAAGGACCAACAGGGGTCCCTATATTTCCCCTTTTGGTGGTTTTAAACACCTTTTTGGTCCATGAAAGGTGAGTATCCATTGTTGGGGGTGATGTTTTAAGGGGAAATATAGGGAGCCCTGACCAAGTCGTGTCTTTTCCGGGTTAAAACCAGTAGGCGCTAGCTGCCTAAGTGGCCTGTTGCAGGCCGCGGGTTTTTCTTGACCAGATGGATCCTGAACCATCTGAAGGATGAGTCTGTCGCCACATTGCACCCAAAGGGCGGCAAAAAAGGGTGTCGTTGTTTTCTTGTTGGGTACCCTTTTTTGGTGGGTTTCAAGGGAAGCCAAAAGGAAACCCACCAGTTTGAGGGTACCTCGCCAAAGAAACCAATGTAGGGGACACTCGAAAAGCCGAGATGTGCGACATTGGTACGAACCCTATGATTTAAGCCAGCTTTGGTTTCCTTTCCCCCCCCCTTATGGGTGCGTCGGTTTTTCAGTGGTTCCCCAGACGGGTAGTTGTCCGTTTTGGTTGCCCTTAAGAAAAAGGGTGCCCTCAAAAATACAAGGGATCTCTATGGGGGGGGGTGGTCCAAGCGGAAGGGTTCCCTAGGGAATTTTAGAAAAGCCTAAGGGCTCTCAACTACCCAGCCCCCGTAACGTACCTACCCTTAGGGATTCCAAAAAAACACCAAGCCACCATTTTTGTTTGGGGCGATCGGGCACGTGAGGTCGGTCAGTACCCTTGCTAACCCACTGAACGGAGACTTGACCATGGCACGTGGGTTATAACCGTGGCTAGGTCCCCCAGCTAGGTGCCCTGTTACCGTTTCTTTTTTGGGGGGAGGGTTCGCCTACTAAATAAGCTCAGGTGATATCCCCAACAGCATGCGGGGCTCTTTTAGTGCTCGCACCACCCCGCATCGCAGAACCTCGTGGAACCATGGTGGAACCCTGGTGGAACCCTGGTGGAACCCTGGTGGAACCCTGGTGGAACCCTCGTGGAACCTTGCCTAGGGCCGCCCCGGACCACCCCGGAGCCTATCTGGGCTGAGACCCCAAAAGCTTTCAGCTGTTGGGGAAAAAGACTACAGAAAAAAGAAACGGTACCCTTATTCTAACCTCTCAAATCTGGAGGACCTAGGTGGTGAGACGCCTTGGGCACACAAAGGTTCGGAGCTGTCCATTTGGCGTTTTGTTTTTTGTTTGGGGAAAAGCGAATGAGCGATTCCAGTGGTGCAGGGGATCCCAGTGGACAGAGGGGTCCTGGAAGATCATTGTCATTTTAAAGGGATTATTGGTCAGGTTGGAGGGTATTTCATTTCAGCGATTTTATGCTCTTTTTTTTTCGGCCTGGTGATGTTCTCCATGGCACCCGTTTTTCGATATCTTGTTTTGATGGCGTCCCCGCCAACAATCGTCAACCCTCCCCTGTGTCCACAAGGGTTGCTGAACAACTTTGTTGTAGAGTTTGCAGAAGCGATGTTTTGGTGTTTTGAGAAAGTAGGTTAGGACTTGTCAGGAAAAGCCAATCAAACCATTGCAGGTCATGACCATCCAAAGAGTTGACAACTTTAGTGGTACAAGTATTGGGTGATCGTTTCATGACTCCTGACATGATGTGCGGGCGGGGGGGGGGGGGGCGGAGCGGGGTTCTGCTCCCTCCTTATGGAGAAGGGCCTGTTGAAACCTTACGGCTAGGCTAGGTTTACGGTTTGCCTTTCGACAAGTTTTGTAGGTGAGAATAGAGTGACTCGCTTAAGAATGCGTGTGTTTGTGCTTTTTTTGGCCCCCTTTGAGACTTCCTTTTAAGGGCACCGAAAGCCCCCCCCCCCGGCTATGAGTTTTAATACTGTGGACTGTCTCCATTTCGCAGCTACAAAACACTGGATGCAGGCCGCCCTTCTTGAACTTACTGATGGGCGAAATCCGTTCGCACCACTTTGAAACCATGGGTGAAACCATTGGTTCGGGAACCACCAACTTCTTCGCCTAAAGCGAATCGACCTTTGGTCCTTTTGGCTTTCCCACGTTGATCCATCTGGTGTAACCTATTTCTGGGTCCTTTGGGCAATTGTGCCAAAGGGCCCCCCATTCACACCCAGGTGTCACCAGGCAAGGACACATGATTCCCGCGCGAATCACCCCGCGAGGCTCTACAACGACGGCAGGCGAGAGTCGGATTCGTCGTGTTGTTTCGGTTGGAATACCCCCACGCGCCACGCGGTTGTCAAAAGCTGGTTACCGCTTCAGCGGGTTGCCCATATCCCTATCCCGCTGATAGATATTGCATACGGGGGATGTACTTTTTAGGGACCTTCTCTCCCCAAAAAAGCACACACACACACAAAACAACAACCACAACAACATAAAACACAGCCTGCAGCCTCGATTGATACATGACTTTTGCTCTAAATATTTCTGCTCGTGATAACCTGTTCTCAAGTAATGTACGATTCAACAAGAATCGCTCGAGTTGTCAGCAATCATGCCCCCGTCTGGGATTTTCGCTCGTTTGCACTTTTTTGCACTTGTATGCGCCGATTTGCGCTCGTTTTGCACTTGTTTTGCGCTCGTTTCGTTGAGAACTCTTCCCAAACTCGCCCCTGCCGAAGAATATGAAACTACCGAACTGGATTTCTGCTGGAATCCAAAAAATGCTCGGAATCAATTGTGGAGGAAAAAAAACTACAACGTGTCAATTTGTGTATCGAACCAGGGGGGAGGCATATTTGTTTGCTTCGATGGAGGCTCCAGGAGTTGTGGGCTTCATTTGATTTGCCCATGAACACTGCCAAGAAAAGGCACTCTCAAAAACACACCCAGAAATGTTTACCCTGTATGCGCCCATTGGACGCTCTGGTATACATTCGCCATATCGCAAGCTGTTTTGAAGGGCCTCAAATCCTTATATGTTTGGATAGCTTATTCCAGAGACTTTGGTTTTCTCTTACCGTTAGCTTCCATTTGAGTTTTGGAGAGGTCTTGATTTCCCTTGTTGGTGTTTAAAGGGAACCTACTACTCGAACCATGTTTTCCCTTTTCACAGGGGCTAAAGCCGGCAAATGGAGATGACACATATGGGGTTGCCCGTTTGGTTTCTCTTGAACACCACTCAAAAAGGGATACCCTCAAACAAAGACAGACCCATATATCATGATGACCATTCCGGGGCTTTGTACGGAGCACCTTGGCAAAGACTGAGGATCGTTTCCCTTCAAACCAACCCCCAAAAAGGTACCAAAAACAGAGAACTCTCCCGAATACGGTTGTGGAGCCACTTTCTGTGAGAACAATGTTGGGTGTTTCACGTTTGTAAGTTGTTAGTAACCAAAGTTATGACCCGCTTGTATAAGTCTCTCTAAGCAGAGTTAGCCTTGCCGTTGCTGGGTTAGAGTTTTAACCCAGGTGGCCAAATACTTCACTAACTTGGCCGAATATCCAAGAGTAGTCTTTCCGGATGCACCTCTTTTATCTTCCATTGAGGGGCAGAAACTGCTCCTGAGGTATTGCGACTGCAGATGCGGGATGCCAGATCCTGACTGTCGCTCGGATGCACCGAGTCACCATACTTTGTTTGGCAATGCAAAACTTTGATATGACTAGCCCAGCAAAATGCATGTATCTGGAGTAGGGGCAATCCTTTCTCTGGCACAGCTCTAAACAAGGCTTGACTGAGAATTGTGTCTGGGGGCCAGTCGGGGAAGTCTTTGATATGAAAGGAATGGCAAGAGGGGGGAGACTTGCATTCCCTGATTTTTCCTAGGAAAACCTGGGGCGCTCCACTACTCAACCCCGCCCTTCGGTGTAGGGCTCAGCCGACTCCGATTAACCCAATGACAATCCTGAGCTGGAAAACTTGCTCTGTCACTTGGCACAAGGCTTCTATGAAATAGTCAGAGCCGGTCAAGACCTGGGAGCCTGCTGCAAACAGATAGGTGCCCCAGCCAGGGCCAAGACCATGTGGTTCTGTGAACCCAAGGCTTTTTTTTCAATCGCTTGCCTGAATTCCAGGGAGAAACTTGAAGGAGAACCCCTTTCTCGGGTATGTCCTCACTCCCTGAGTTACCTGGAGTCTCCATGACCAGAAAATGGTTGGTCATGACCTCACTATTTTGGGTACTGACCCCATGTTGAAAGGGTCAGAAGGAGACTCTAAGCAGACTTTAAACTTTTAGATTGTTTTTTATTTATTTATTTTGTGTTGTTGTTTTGGTTTCTCCGGACCATTTTAGTAACAAACCGTCCAGACTTGATGCTTTTTGTGGCCAATCCACTCGGGAAGTGGCTCACTTCCTGAGTTCATGAACTTTAAACTTTTTGGGAAGGCCATTTTAGTGGTAAATATAAAGTGTGAGCAGTGTGAGTTGCAGGTCGCAATGTCTTGAGGCTTTTTCCCCAACCTGCCGGTCCGGAACTGTGGCAGCGGAGAGGCCGGCGGGCCTCTCTGCTCGCGAGGGAGAAGGGCAGGGGCGCGTCCATTATATTACGAGCATAATATATATATATATATATATATATGTTTCTTGTTTAAAGAATATATATATAGAAACATATATACATATATGTATAACATGTTTCAAATCAACATACCACCCAAAACAGGGCGCGCCAAGAAGTCATTATGTTGAGTGATGTTGAGTGTTTCTGGGGATGAAAGTCAGAACCTTCATCAGCTTTTCCAATCACAGGCTGCAATGCCTCTTCTGGTTCACTACCCCAGGTGACTTGGCAAACAGATTTCGGCCACCGAAGAGCTGCCCAGAGAACTTGCTGGGGTTCCGTACTGTGGATGGCTGCGAAATCCATGCCGCGCCGCTCAGACACGCTGGAATGGTTTGGCTTCCCAAAGCAAATATCAACCTACGGTATGGTTTCAACCATAGTTTCATGTCGTGGTTGCATGTTCTGGATTTCGCAATATCATTTGCAGCATATCCAGAAATGAGCCTGAGGCAGCTGGAAGATGTTTATCTCCCAAGCAAGGTACCTTTTGCTTTGTGCGTGGAAGGAAAGGTGTTTGGAGCGAAATGAACTGCTGCCATGTTTCTGGTGCAGTTAAGAGGTATTTGTGTTAGTATCCGGTTCGATGTGTGTGGGCGGGTAATTATTTGGAGTGATGGGAACACAACGCTGTCATGTTCCTGGTGCATCGTGCTTCGTCCGTGGCCTGCTTGGCAAAAAGCCGCGCAGACGCGAGCTGTTGAAGAGGGTGTCCGGTTTTGCCTGCGGTAAACATCAGGTTTTTAGGGTCCCCAGACCCAATTTCTTGCGGTCTTTCGGGGTCAAAGGCCGAAGGTCCTTGGATCCCAAGTCGAATTTCGATCGAGTTTCCTTGTTGGGTGCTGTTTTTTAGTGGGAAACTGGGGAGTGGAGGGCAAGATACCCCAGCAGCAACCCTGAGTCCGACGGAATTCCGGTTGCGTGACCCCGCACCATTGCCGGACTGAAACCCGCCGGACTGAAACCCGGGTTTCCTTTCTACTCAAATTAGCACCGCCAAGATTTAGGAGGCAGGACCCCATTTGGCTGTGTGTCAGAACCAATGGTACCATTTTGGGGTAGGTGCACCACCCATTTTAGTTTATTTGAGTGGGGGTTGGGATGTTCACTGGGGGTACGGGGTTTTGACCCATGGCCATTTTGTTCAGGGGTGTTGGAGACTCCCGGAAAGTGTCTGGTAAGTACTCAACTTCTTTCAGCCTACATACATGTGTCAACACATTCCCAAGGGATTTGATTCAGTGTAAAAATTCGGGGGCGTAGTATGTTCAATTATTTTGTGTCACAGACGGAGAATGGCAGTTGCATTTGCGTTTCCCGTGCAACTGTTTGCAGAAAAGGGTGTCTACTCAAGAAATGCCTTAGCAGTTGCTTGAACATTAGGATGTGAAAAGAACCCTTGGAACGAGCCCTTCCTTTGTTCGGTTTTGACATAAAGGTATAAGTCCCTTTAACAGAAACGAGTAGCCCCAGAGTGTCGCTTGCTATTGGAGTGTTCGTTGCCAAGTTAGTACGTTGTTGGTAACCTAGGTCACAACCCGCGTAAAGCAGTCCCCAATTCGGTGGAGTTAGTCTTGTTATTAGGGGGTTCTTGCGCAGGTGGCGAACCACTTACTAACTTGGTCGGCTAAGTGGGTCGGGAAACCCATCAAGTGGCTTGTTTCAGGGATTCAATCCCCGATACACGGTGGATGCCGCTGCTAACTATATGGCAAGTAAGGGAAGAAGGAAGCCCACCCAAAAATTTTGATGTTCATGGTCAAATGTATTGTTTTTTTTCGTCTCCATGACCCGTAATCGGGTCATGACTCTTGATTTGGGTATGTGACCCCATTTTTGAAGGGTCGGAAGAGACTCCAGGTAAATTTTGAGTACAAACATCAAACACCTTGAGGGAAATGTTCCGCCTGTTTCGAGAGATGTTGCATGGCTGGTTTACTTGCAATATTGAGTTGGCATCCGTCCCCCACCCATTTCTTAAGCGGCGTGGATACTCTCCCGATTTGAGCCAAGTTGGGCCGAGGTTCTACAAGAACCAAAGGTTCAACCCCCCACAGATCCATGTTGGCTTTGGTGACCGAGTCGCCCCGTTTTGGACCTTTGGAAAGCGGAAGGTCTTCTTGGCCTGTTGCTCGTTCGGGGGCCTTGGAGCAACGTGTACTTAACGGGCGAGCGAGGAGGGTACGTCAGGCAAGTGGGCAACAACTATGGCAACACACGAAAGCCATGGTTGTTGGTCTGTGCTCAGTGGGTTGTCTCACCATAGTTGTTACCCACTTACCCGACGAACCTTGCATCGATCGCCAATGTTTGAGTAGACTGACCAAAGAGAGAAGCCTTGTTGCATTTTGCTTGGATCTCAGGGCTTTAACTTTTTGCCCACAATTGGGTTTTCCATTAAACCACGAAGAGTTATTCACTTTTAGCAGGGGTTCAGAAAGCAACCGAAGAAACCATAAGCACCTAGAGTCTCCATGACCCTTAGAAAAACGGGTCACAACCCCTTAATTTTGGGTAATGACCATTTTTTAGGGTCGTGGAGACTCCAGGTAGATGGACCAAAGAGAGAAACCACCTGGTCTCATGGTTTCGCACACCATCTGCCACTAAGTGGCAGCAAAGAAAACACCCCCTGAGAGGCCTGCTCCACCCTCGGGCGCTGTACCACAGCGGAAGTGGCGCACTCAGCTTGGTCTTTGGGTCGACTAGAGTCTTCCATTTGTTCAAGAATATCTGTCATTTTCCAGTGTTCCCTTGGGTTTAGGGGAAATCTATCAATTTGCGTATTGGTATTTTTCTGTCGGCTTTCAAGGGAACCGATTTCACCACGGAAATATATATGTTTATTCCGTTTTGGCCAAATCCGCTTGAAAGTCAACCAGCAAAAGGATGCCGTTTCTGTTTGCTCCCACTGTCTGATACTAGTAGAGCCGGCGAAGCCGGTGGGCGGAAGTTTAAAAAATATAAAAACTATAGTTATCTTTCTCGTTCTTTTCTTGACTCTTCTCTCTTCTTCTGCCTTTTCATTGTTTCTTTTTTCTCCGTCATTCTTCCTTTCTTCCTTTTTTTCCTTCCTTCCTCCATTATTTCCTTCTTTCTATCTGTCTTTTCTTTCTTTCTTTCGTTTGCTTGCTTTTGTGCTGTTCTTTATTTTGTCTCTTCTCTGTCTATGTATATATTTATCTATCTATCTATCTATCTATCTATATATTGTTTATATCTTTCTATATTTCTATATATCTATCTCTTGTTTAATCTACCTATCTATCTACCTATCTCTCTCTCTCTCTATCTGTCTATCTTTTTATCTCTATCTATCTATCTATTTATCTCTCTCTCTATCTATCTATCTATCTCTCTATCTATTTATGTATCGATCTATCTATTTATCTATCTATCTATCTATCTAATTCATTTCTCTATCCAGCTACCTATCTATCTATCTATATCTCTATCTCTAGTTCTATTTATCTATGTATCTCTCTATCTATCTATCTATCTATCTAGCTGTCTATCTATCTTCTGTTGGTTTATCTATCGAACTATTTATCTCTCCATCTATCTCTCTATCTCTCTTTCTTTCTATCTTTCTATCTCTCTATCTCTTTTTTTCTATCTGTTTATCTCTCTATCTCTTTCTCTATCTCTTTTTATCTATCTATCTATCTATCTGTCTATCCATTTATCTCTCCATCTATCTCCCGCGTGTCTATCTATCTATCTATCTATCTATCTGTCTATCTCTCTATCTATCTATCTCTATCTATGTATCTCTATATTTCTCTATGTATCCCTCTGTCTACTTATCTATCTATCTCTCTCTCTATCTGTCTATCTATCTCTCTATCTCATTATCTCACGTGTGTTTATCCATCTCTCCATCTCTCTATCTATCTATATATATATAGTTCTCATTATCTATAGATCTACCTATCTATCAATCTCTTTATCTATTTATGTATCTATCTATCTATCTATACATCTAATTTATTTCTCTATCCAGCTACCTATCTATCTATCTATATCTCTATCTCTCTTTCTATCTATTTATCTATGTATCTCTCTATCTATCTATCTATCTATCTATCTAGCTGTCTATCTATCTTCTATTGGTTTATCTATCTAACTATTTATCTCTCCATCTATCTCTCTATCTCTCTTTGTTTCTATCTTTCTAGCTCTCTATCTCTTTCTTTCTATCTGTTTATCTCTCTATCTCTTTCTCTATCTCTTTCTATCTATCTATCTATCTATCTATCCATCTATCTCTCCATCTATCTCCCGCGTGTCTATCTATCTATCTATCTATCTCTCCATCTTTTTTCCGCGTGTCTATCTATCTATCTATCTATCTGTCTATCTCTCTATCTGTCTACTCTATCTATGTATCTCTATATCTCTCTATGTATCCCTCTGTCTACTTATCTATCTCTCTCTCTCTCTCTATCTGTCTATCTATCTATCTATCTCTCTATCTCATTATCTCACGTGTGTTTATCCACCTCTCCATCTCTCCATCTATCTTTGTTCTGTTTCTAATTATCTAGAGATCTACTTATCTATCCATCTCTCTATCTACCTCTCTATCTCATTCTCTCCACCTATCTATCTATCTGCCTCTCTATCTACTCATCTATTGATCTATCTATCTATCTATCTATCCTACTTATTTCTCTATCTATCTACCTACCTATCTATCTCTCTCTCTATCTCTGTTTCTATCTATACATCTATCTCTCCATCTATTTATTTATCTGTCTATCTACCTATCTGTCTGTTTATCGTTTATCTATCTATTTATTTATCTCTCTATCTCTCTATCTATATTTTTTTCTATCTATCTGTTTATCTGTCTCTTTTTCTTTCTATTTATCTATCTTGAAAATCGCAACTTTTGGATGCAGATATAGATGGATAGATAAATAGATCGATAGACAGATAGAGAGATAGCTAGAGAGATAGATAGAAAGAGATAGAGAAAGAGATAGAAAGATAGATGGATAGAGAGAGAGAGAGAGAGAGATACAGAGATAGAGAGATAGATAGATAGATAGATAGATACAGAGAGGGCTAGAAGATAGAGAGATGGAGAGAGCCCCAGCTGCGAAAGTGGACTTCACGTACTACTTTCGTACTTAAAAGTTGCGATTTTCAAGCCCCAGCTGCGAAAGTGGACTTCGCGTACTACTTTCGTACTTAAAAGTTGCGATTTTCGAGCCCCAGCTGCGAAAGTGGACTTCACGTACTACTTTCGTACTTAAAAGTTGCGATTTTTGAGCCCCAGCTGCGAAAGTGGACTTCGCGTACTACTTCATACTTAAAAGTTGCGATTTTCGAGCCCCGGCTGCGAAAGTGGACTTCGCGTACTACCTTCGTACTTAAAAGTTGCGATGTTCAAGCCCCAGCTGCGAAAGTTGACTTCGCGTACTACTTTCGTACTTAAAAGTTGCGATGTTCGAGCCCCGGCTGCGAAAGTTGAACTTGCAAAAGTGCTGCGCCTGCCACGAAATGTGTACTTGACCTTGCGAAAGTGCTGCGCCTGTCCCGAAATCTGTACTTGACCTTGCGAAAGTGATGCGACTGCCACGAATTTTGCGCTTGACCTTGCGAAAGTGCTGCACCTGCCACGAATTCTGCACTTGACCTTGCGAAAGTGATGCGCATGCCACGGATTTTGCACTTGACCTTGCGAAAGTGCTGCCCCGGCCACGAAATCTGCACTTGACCTTGCGAACGTGCTGCACCTGCCACGCAATCTGTGCGTGACCTTGCGAAAGTGCTGCGCCTGCCACGACATCTGTACTTGACCTTGCGAAAGTGCTGCCCCGGCCACGAAATCTGCACTTGACCTTGCGAAAGTGCTGCCCCTGCCACGACATCTGTACTTGACCTTGCGAAAGTGCTGCGCCTGCCACGACATCTGTACTTGACCTTGCGAAAGTGCTGCCCCGGCCACGAAATCTGCGCTTGACCTTGTGAACGTGCTGCGCCTGCCACGAAATCTGTACTTGACCTTGCGAAAGTGTTGCGCCTGCCACGACATCTGCACTTGACCTTGCGAAAGTGCTGCCCCGGCCACGAAATCTGGACTTGACCTTGCGAACGTGCTGCACCTGCCACGAAATCTGCACCTGCCCTTGCGAAAGTGCTGCGCCTGCCACGCAATTCAGCCCTTGGGGAATCTTGACCTTGCGAAAGTGCTGCGCCTGCCACGAAATCTGCACCTCACGTTGCAAAAGTACTGCGCCTGCCACGGAAATCGAACCTTGCGAAACCTTCGCGTTGCCGTGCCAATGGGCCCGCGCTGCGAACGTGATCCGACAGTCCGACAATGGTCCGACCAGGCGCCGCGAACAGCATAGCTTTCAGTTTTCCGGGCATGCAAATTCACGCACAGGGCCACGCTTTTGCCGCACTTCTATTCTCCCACCGCACGCGCGCGCATCTTTTTTCGCGCGCTTATTCCTGTTCTTTTCATGTGTCTCAGGGAGAGCTAGCTTTTGACCTTGCGAAAGTGCTGCCCCTGCCACGAAATCTGTACTTGACCTTGCGAAAGTGCTGCCCCTGCCACGAAATCTGTACTTGACCTTGCGAAAGTGCTGCGCCTGCCACGACATCTGCACTTGACCTTGCGAAAGTGCTGCCCCGGCCACGAAATCTGGACTTGACCTTGCGAACGTGCTGCACCTGCCACGCAATCTGCACGTGACCTTGCGAAAGTGCTGCGCCTGCCACGACATCTGTACTTGACCTTGCGAAGGTGCTGCCCCTGCCACGAAATCTGTACTTGACCTTGCGAAAGTGCTGCCCCTGCCACGAAATCTGTACTTCACCTTGCGAAAGTGCTGCGCCTGCCACGACATCTGTACTTGACCTTGCGAAAGTGGTGCACCTGCCACGCAATCTGTGCGTGACCTTGCGAAAGTGCTGCGCCTGCCACGAAATCTGTACTTGACCTTGCGAAAGTGCTGCCCCTGCCACGAAATCTGTACTTGACCTTGCGAAAGTGCTGCCCCTGCCACGAAATCTGCACTTGACCTTGCGAAAGTGCTGCCCCGGCCACGAAATCTGGACTTGACCTTGCGAGCGTGCTGCACCTGCCACGCAATCTGTACGTGACCTTGCGAAAGTGCTGCGCCTGCCACGACATCTGTACTTGACCTTGCGAAGGTGCTGCCCCTGCCACGAAATCTGTACTTGACCTTGCGAAAGTGCTGCCCCTGCCACGAAATCTGCACTTCACCTTGCGAAAGTGCTGCGCCTGCCACGACATCTGTACTTGACCTTGCGAAAGTGGTGCACCTGCCACGCAATCTGTGCGTGACCTTGCGAAAGTGCTGCGCCTGCCACGACATCTGCACTTGACCTTGCGAAAGTGCGGCCCCTGCCCCGAAATCTGGACTTGACCTTGCGAAAGTGCTGCCCCTGCCACGAAATCTGCACCTGACCTTGCGAAAGTGCTGCGCCTGCCACGCAATTCAACCCTTGGGGAAACTTGATGCCGTGCCAATGGGCCCGCGCTGCGAACGTGGTCCGACAATGGTCCGACAATGTTCCGACAATGGTCCGACAATGGTCCGACCAGGCGCCGCGAACAGGCTAGCTTTCAGTTCTCCGGACATGCAAATTCACGCACACGGCCACGCTTTTGGCGCACTTCTATTCTCCCACCGCACGCGCGCGCATCTTTTCTCGCGCGCTTATTCCTTCTCTTGTCATCTGTCTCAGGGAGAGCTAGCTTTCAATTAGTTGCCGTAACACGGAAGTTCCTTCGAAACTTCCTTTGACTATTCGTCAGTATTTCGCCCTCGGATTGCCCTGCCCCTAGGGCTCCTTGCCCCCATTCAACGAAGGGCAAGGGCTCATGTTGAATGATTACAATATCCAGGTGGACTATGGTGGTCATATGAACCCTTTGTTTTATTGCTTGTTTAAATCCCAGGGCTGCCAGAAGCCAGAAGCTTCCCCGGGCGACAATGGTCACAGGATCGAACGTGATGAGATGCTCCATTTAGACATGGCACGTGGGACTTGCGACTTGCGTGCACCGCAACACATCAAACGAGCGAGCCGCTCGCATGACAACACCTCGATTTTGTCTCCCAAACGAATCCTGGACTCCCCCTTCAACTTCCCTCAAATTCCAGGCGGCGCAAACAAAATCCACCTCGAAAACCGGGGAGCTGTCCTATATTCCCGAAAAAAACGCTCAAAACGAGGGATCTTGCCGGAAATAGGGAAATTCCGCAAAATTTGTCCTTTTGACATCCCTCAAACAACTCGGGGTGTACGGGGATCCTTACCTTACTTGAACGTTCGTCGGCAGGTTAGTAAGTGGTTAGCCACCTGGGATCTAAGCCGCTGACGAGGTTAACTCAACTTGAGGCTCAAAAGCAAGGTATAGCTTAGGTTACTAATAACTTACTAACTTGGCAACGAACACCCAAGTATGGATGCACCAACATACGCTGGCAGTAATTCCTTGGTACGCCAATAAAAGCTTGTACTTGAAGGGGCATTGTACTCAGCACATGGGTCACCATATGTCACCATGGTTCCCCGCAAACGCCATCTTCCTAAGTCTCCAAAGTCTTCCAAAAACGCGTGGGCTCTCTCACCAGGGCCTCTCACTGCCCTGTCCCGAGTCGATGGCCTCCGCTTTACTCTCGCCATCGCAGTCGCGGCATCAAGGCCTTTGCGGGGCTCGCGGACACCAGTCAAGTCTACGTCTCCGAAGCGTCCGGGGCCCAGATCGCCGAGATCTAACGACATCTTCGGATCCTATGAGTTCCCACGGCTGGATCCGAGATGGTGGCGGGCTGAAGAAAAAGCTTTGTTGGGTCTGGGGTCATTGTTTTGATACCAGATGTGGGGGTTATCAAAGGGGTTTGTAATTTTCCCTTTAACGACTTGGAGGGTGACTTTGATGCGGGTGATGCCTGTTGAAGAAAAGTTGTCTTCCAGAATTCTCGGGCAAGGCTCCATTGTTTTTCGGCAATTCCGCTCAAGTAAGAGGATGGCTCCATTCAAATCAGTGTGACCGAAAGAATCGCGCTTTCCTTTTCGAACCGAAAGGAATCTTTGGTCTTCTGGGTGTACAAATGTGGGAATTGTCCCATACTCAGCGGATCCATTTACCTGCATGATGTATATGTGGGAATTGTCCCGTACCCAGCGGATCCATTTGCCTGAGTAGGTAACCAAGAGAACCACCTTCGACAAAAACCACGAGGAACACAGCGAAGAGGAACACAATAACCTGGAATCCACTGGGTTTGCTCCCGAATGGGGGTTTAGAGCAACCCAGGCTTTGCAAGTGGACTGAAATGGCAAGTGGAATCCGGTGCAAGCCCTGTTTTGTGGTTTTACCGCAGAGTTGTGTGGTTGGATGTTTGGCACCTCCAGGATTCAAGGTGTCAGTGAGACGCGCTATAAACCTGAACCCTAGGAAGCTTCCAGACCTGGGCCGGACATGGCCTTGCCCTTGACTTTTTTGGTGCCGGCGATTTGTGGCTGGCGTGCCTTGATTCAAGCGACTCAAATGGGTCCTTCACGGCCGCAACCGGCAACCCCACAGCTCCGCAAGTTTTGGGGGGAAGACGTCAAAGCCCTTGGTCGGACGAAGACGAAATGTTGGTGATACCCCAACTGCCAGATCCTATGGTTGTCAAGGCGCTCCCCCCAACACTGGCCAATTCCCCAATTTCAATCGGGGCTTGTAGCGACTTTTGGGGTGTTTGAGGGCAGCTGGCAACCATAGGCCCTTGTCTTCCTGCCCCGAACCCGCGAATCCCAGTGCCGCCTGCAGCGTGTTTTTGCGGTGGCAACTGAATTCTAGCGCTTTATATATAAATTGTTCTGATTGGTTCTGATTGGTTTCCCGTCGCTTGGTTTCCCTGTTTCCATCACCTCCAAAACCCATAAATGACATGCATGGCTGACCAAAATGCGTGCCTGGACTCTGCTGACCCTTCGAAATTGGCATCTTGGCATGCCACTTTCGAAGGGTCAGAAGGAGGACTCCATGTGAGCCACTTGCTCAAAACCCGGATAGATGAAGCTTAGTAAAGCACGATCCCCTTGCCATAAATAGCTGCGGATATCCGCCTTCTTAATTCCTTACATGGTTCTGGGATTACAACCATTTTAGTACCGGGTTTTGAGCAAGTGACTCATGTGCAATTGTGTTTGCCCATCCACAAACTCAAAGCCCTAAAACACCATCAGCGCAGGGGAAAGCCCCTCAAGCCTCAGCCTCATTTTTGGTCAGAAGGCCCTGCAGCCGCTGCAAAGCACAGATCAAGCGGCTTCAAGCGGCCTCGGGGTTCGACCCATGTGGACGCTCAGGTGCTCTCAGCTGTACTTCCGTGGGCATACGGACCTGGCCGGATGGGAGGGGTGAGGGTTGGGGAGGGCGGCAAAACGGCGTCGGAGTGTTCGGTGTTCCCCGTGTCCGTTGAGCAAAAACGATGAGCCACCCCAGCCCCAGATCGACCTTTCAGTCTGCAAGCCGCATTTTGCCTTCAATGCCTCCATGTGATGTTGTGATCCAAGTAGCCGTGGTCATGTTGTGACTTGGTCATTTTTCACTGAAGGGGTTTCAATCGTCACCTTTTCGTTGCCAAGGCTGAGCTTCCCTAGCGCCAATCCCGCCTGTTCAGCCTTCGAATCGCGATATCGTGATATCGATGTTGGAGTTTCCCTTTGACATGTTTGTTTTGTGTATAAAAGACTCCGAACTGCCCCACCAAAGGGACAGAACTCATGTCCCCCCAACCTCAGGCATGCGCTTGCTGACCCTGGGTGAAACCTTTGAAGGCCCAGAAACTGATCCGCAGTGGCCGTCTTAGCTGGTTTTATGGAGTTGCCAAGAAAAGGTCCAAGTTGAACATTGCCCTGAGGCTCCTGCCCGCTACTTCCCTTGTACCTAGCAGCCTTGACTCCGTGATGGTTCTATCGGGTTGAAAGCTAGGGGCTATACAGAAGTCGTTTTCGCCAGGTTGGTTTTACCAAACGTCAAGAGTTCAATGGGTGGAGGGCTTCTTAGAGGGTACCAGGTGCCAAAAAGCCAGAAGTCAATTGTTTGAAACGGGCGCTGCTCTTGTGTGTCTAGAAAAAATCGGCCCCGAACTGGTGGGTGTCCCTTTACCTTGAAACCAACCCTTTTCAAGCCCCCAAACAAGACATACAGGTAGTTGCTTATTTTGGGAAATCGGACACCCCTCTATGGCTTTGGTTTTGCTTTTGGTTTCCCTTCAAAACAGCAAAAGGGGTACTCTGAAAACAGCACACACATATCCCAGTCTGGATTTCCAAGCGAAACTTGTGTTTGACTTGCTGCGAGTGGTCAAGATTGGGAGCCCGTTTTGTTATCCGGCACCTAGGCAATATCAGTGCTCACAGAATTGCTGGTTTGCTCCTGCAATACAAGTAAAGGTGGCTTTAAAGCCTCCACAAACCCATTCGAGTTATTCGGGCCATTATATCTGGGTGAATTACAACGACCTCACACGACCTCACCCCAAATGATGGTTTATGTGGGGAATGGCCCCCCAACTACCCTATTTCAGGCTGGTAAAATATTATAATTCACCCAGATGATATGTGGACCCTTGAGCGCTTCGGCGCTTCGTCGGTCTGATCGGTTCGCTTTGGGAGGTGGGGTTCATGGGCACGGAGGAGGAGTACCGAAACGTCACTTGGAGAGACTTAGAGCCAAGGATCAGGACGCTCAGCCAGCGCTTTTGCTGCCAGGGCATTGTTTTTTGTTGCCAGAGTTTGGTTTTGTGTGTTTCCTGGGCTCGGTACCCATTTTGAGCTTGGAATAAAAGGGAAACCACATTGGAACCCACCAGTTTTGGGGCAGGTGGTTGATCACTCGGGGGGTTGTCCCCCACTGTGATACTTTTGGGAATCTATCCTTTATATATAGGGGGAAAATGTCTTTGAGAAGCCCTTTTTGTTGTATCACACAAGTGGATGCCATTTTCCTGATCAACATTCTATGTAGGGCCTCAAAAATAACCAAGTCCCCTGTGGTGAAAGCCATCTTTTTTTGGTGGTTTCCCAAATGGTCGTCCCAAAGACTTTTCAAAGGACCCTTTGACCAACCCCACTTGACTTTAGCCCCAAGTTTCTGTGATAGACGCATTGCTTCCAGACGTTTCGCCACTACAGCAGGCAACCGCGGAAAACTATCCATGGTAAAACCCGGAGGTATCATACCTATTGCCTACTATAGTGATGGAAGCACTCGGGATGGTTAGTACTTTTCTCATTTGGGCGTTTCCCAAAGGAATCGGAACATGGGTTTCATGAAGGTTTCCTTTTGGAACCAACGGAGAAAAGGGTCCACTATCTTGAGAAAGCCCCATTTCATGGTTGAGACAGGGAGAACATACAGAATGCTGCGCTTTGGTATCGCAGAAAGGGGTATTGTCAACAACCATACCCCGTTTGTTACATCACCATTTGGCCCAATCTACAGTGGAGTGAACGTAGATGGCGCAATTCCCCCATTACTTATTCATACACTTTCTTTGTCAGAAAGGAAATTGTGGCATCCACTTTCACCCTGTTGTACTCAGGTAACCCTTAGGTGGTGGTTTGAGGAATTGAACCCCCTGGTGCTTGTTGGGTGGAAGCCTCCAAACCACCAATTTGAAAAGAGCTTTCCGTGCACCTTCTTGAGGCCAAGATTGGGGGGGAACACAGCATGCTTCACTTAATGCGAGCACGTTAAATCTTGTTTTCATAGGTTTGGCGACAATTCTGAACAATGTGTGAGCATGGGTCTACGCCTGCCACAGCTGCTCCGCGCAATAGCGAGCCCTTGCTTTGTTTGTAGCAATCTGGCATGACAATGTTTGAAATTTACCCGGGCTCCCCTTGCGGCAGACATGAAATTTGGTTGTGGTGTACCTGGAGTCTCCTTCCGACGCTCGAGCAAAGAAAACATCGAATAACGTGTACCCCTTGCGTTTTTCCAGGGGCCAGAAGGAGGCCTCTGGGATTCCATCAATGGAGCCCTGCGTAGAGTGGCAGAGTACTTAGTAAGTGGTTAGTAAGCCTGGTCCACTTAGCAGACTTATAACCATGGGAAGTGGGTTATAACCATGGTTCTCTCCACGAGCTGCGACCAGAAACAGTAAAGAACTGTGGCACGTGGCATGGGATTTGGCGATTTGCGTGGGAAGCCTGGACCACAAAATCACAGAAGTTCGGGATGGCTAGCGCATGTGTTTTCTGTTTTTGCTAGACCGTTGACCAGAAGATGACATCGCAAAGTCGCGGGTTGCAAGCCTCAAGTTTGGTCCAGCTCTCTTATTCCCTGACTTGGAATTTGCCCTGATTGCACCCTTTCCCTCTGGGATTCAGCCAGCCATTAAAGCAGTGGGGGTGTATAACCGCCATTGTTTACCGTTCAGGAGATGCGTCATCTAAATTGGGTCCCCAGACCATTCTGTGTTGAACCCTATGCTCTAGCTGCCACGAATAGTAGGTATATTGCCAGGTATGTGTTACCTCTCAGTTTGACATGACTCATGATGGCTTCCCCTAGTAAGTTCTCACCGGTGCTTCTCTTCACCTAGCAAGATTATGGAAGCTGAGGCGCAACTTAGGCAACCGTAGCGTTTCTGGGATCTTCCATGAGACGGTGTAGAGAAGCTAACCCCAGGGGAAAGCGGGGTATCAATATGGGGTATATGGGTGTGGGTCAAAATTAAACCACCAGGATATGGACCGCGGGTTTTGGTCCATGTTTTCATTTATCAGGGCAAGCCATTTTGGGTATCTATTTTTGACCCACGGCCATATCGTTAAGCCATAAAACTGCTGGCTGGCGTCTGTTGGGGGCAATGTTGACCTCAGATCTAAGTAGAACCCGTCCTATAAACAGGGGTGTTTCCCAAAAGTGATGAATGCCCACTCAAAGGGGGACACCCCCTATGAATCAAGCAGGCGTTGGCAACTCATTGGAGGGACACCCCAGGACGAGTTTAAACCGGGGTGCCCATCGAAGCAAGCATACTTGTTTCTTGGACGAGTCCAGTTTGCGTGGCAAAGGACTCCAATCTGCGAATGGTGTCCTTGTGTCCAGGGCTTCCCACCGGGTCCCTAAAAAATGGAATTGGGGGAAGGGGGATGGCGAACCCTGAAAATAACATGTTTGTTGATTCATTTTCCCTTTTATGGGGACTGGATAAATGGAATTGGACATGTTTGAAAATGAGTCTGTCATTTATCATGGGAACCAACTGGACAAGATCAAACCACGCATAACTTAAAACTCCCAATTCTTAGACACTCACATGAGATACCCCAACGAATGGCTGGGTTTTCCTTTGGGTTTCCCTACCCGCAAAAGGGCACCTGAAGGGGCCATAGGATCCTTAAGCGGGTGATATCCATGGTTACGACCCTAGGAGACTTACTGTGATAAGTGGGTAATAGCCATGATTCCAACCCACTTAGAAGACTTACAGCCGTGGCTTTTGTGGCTTACAACCAGTGGGTTAGAACAATGGTTGTTACCCACTTGCTAAGCTTTGGCGCATTTTGCGAAGGGATGTGAGGTCTTTCTCTTTTTGCCAACTCATGGATTTTCCGTCTTAGACCACTAAAAGTGTGTCATTTTGAGCGGAGCAGATTTCGCCACCGAGTAAAGATCCATACCCTCCCGGCCATGGCACCTGCGGGTCCCTTGAGGAAATTGTCATCTTCCAGATGCCCTCCCAGAGGTGCCATCCGGTGGATGGATACGAAATCCGTTTCGCACCACAATGAAACCACGGTTGAAACCATAACGTTGCTTGGTACTTGCAGGGGAATCGACTCATTCCAGGGTTTCTGAAAGGTGGTGCGAAATGGATTTCGTTCCCATCCACAGTATGTTTGGAAGGGTACCAGTCGATTCTTGGATTCTTCTGTCTGTTGGCCCATGTTTTCGGCCCGGACATCGGCTCGCTGCCTGAGTGCCGGGGCTCGGACTTCACTTTTCGGGTTCCCTCGATCGCCCCAAGCAGAAGTCATGGTCCCTTGACAAAGGCCAGCGGCGGCGGCTGTCCCACCTGCCCCTTCGAGCCAGGGGACTTGTCGCTCGGCGGAAAGCGGTTTCGGGACCAGCGGCTTGATAGCTGCCTCGTCTTTTCTAACAAAATCGGACCCTTTCTGCAAAAATGGTTGGTTTCCTTCTTTTTGCAGGAATCGGACCCCAAGACTACCTGGAGTCTCCATGACCCTTGACAAAATGGCTCAACGACCCCAAAATTCAAGGGTCATGGAGACGCCAGGTAGAAATTGGACCTCCCAAAAATGGTTGGTTTCCTTCGTTTTGTAGGAATCGGACCCCGAAACTAGTCCTTTTGGTTTCCCTTTAAACCAGCCCGGAAAAGGGGTGGGCCCCCAAAACAGATAGACCCATTGGTCGGTGTGTCGCTTGTTTGAGGCTTGGTGCCCGTTTAAGGTTGGTCTTAGACGAGAACCAGGGGCACGCCACCATTTTGGGTTTCCCCGCGTTCCCCTATCACACATACCCATTCAGTGAGCACCAGACTGGTCCAAGGGTTCCATGCCGTGAACAAATTTGGCATCTTGGCCCAATTTCAGTGTCACTTGGAGGTAGCTTCTCATGAAAGTATGGGGGTGTCCTTTCTTTAGCTTGCATTTGCTTAAGGGTATGTTGTATTTTCCCTCGTTGGTCTTCAAGGGAGTTTTTCACTACTGGAAACATATATATATATAGAGTATAGATTGTGTATATATATATATATATATGTTTTGCCCATGGGCCTGAAGCAACAGGATATTGGGCACCCCCAAACATAGAATGTGGTGTACCTTTCGGTTTCCACCCATGGTATCATTTGCTGTACCTGGGTGTTCGATTCGCAAGTTTGTAAGTGGCTAACCTAAGTTACAACCCGCTTATCAGCCGCCCGTTCAGTGGAGTCAAAGCCTGTATTTGGGATAGAACCCGGGTGGCCTTTTCCTCATACTAACTTGGCAAGGAGCATCCAAATAGTAAAGGGGGTGGGACACTCTGTCGATTCTTGATCTGGGGTTACTCATCGAATTCCCCGACCTGAAATGATCTTGAGTTTCCCCCCGGTTTGGTCGTTTGGGGGGGTCATGGCCTGCAAAAGGTTGACCGACCTACCTTCCGGAACGGAAAGGTGGCAAGCGGGACGCGGACTTTTAGCCTCTCATTCCGGACCACAGTCCGGAACATCCTCTAAGCTTCCCCAGAACTAGCTTCCCTTTTTGTTTTGGTTTTTTGCTTGTTTGGGGTCCCTTTTGCTTTCCATTAACCAGGCAAAAAAAAAGAAGTTTTTTTTGCTGGGGTCCTAATTCCAGCCTAGTAAGATGACATGTGTTTCCCCACTCAATATGTTTCTCGAGTAGATAAATTTCTCCAGGTGGCTGGCTTCCATTTCGTTTCACTGGTACGGTTTTCTGCGTACCCCAGAGATGTGCCCAGTTGTCCAGCGGTGCCCTTTTTTCAGCTTTTTTTCTAGGTAAGGGTTCCCCTTTAAACTGAAGCAACCAAAAAAGGGTGCCCGTTTTGCCCCGTGGAAATCCACTCGGCATTTGTGGGCCGCACCCGAATCGAAACCTGGACCGCTCGGAGGTACGGTGGTGCGGCCTCGCTCAGCGAAGCCTGCGATGAAACGGGAAAGTGCGTCCAGGAGACAGGTTTTGCGAGGGGGTCTTAGTTGAATGTTCGGACAGCCTAACCTAAGTCAAGTAAGCTTAACTCCACAACTTGAGTTGCCGACAACTTACTAACTTGTTGATTCCATGAGACCAAACCGCTTAGCTCACTTGTTTGGAGTTTCCATGTGCGGGAGTACTTGTTGCACGGCTGGCGAAAGGTCTCCCGGGCTTCTCTTCGATTGCTCCCGGAGATAATTTTATGGAATTGTTCTACGGATGCCCTAAACATGAAGGTTTGCCGAGCCTCAAACACAGATCCGTGGTAAACTACTTTGTACCTTTCTTGAAATATTTGGTAAGGCATCCACTGGATCTTACTTGCCATAGTTGCATGCACCAACCGTTTCTTGCCCCGCGCTTGCGGGTCCCGTTCAAGCCTGATGCTCAAGCCCAAGCATGGCTCACGGATTCCAGTCAGAGTCCTTTCATATGTCATGAGATGTGTGCTGCTTCTTTCTCTGGCCCATCTCGCGGAGTCGCAGACCCAGACTTGCGAGGCAAACGTCAGCTTCGTGCAGAAGAACTTGCGACTTGAAGAGAAACGGCCCAACTTGCTGCTCCTCCTGCTGGACCAATGGCGCTTCGATTTCACGGACGAATCCTACATGTCCTCTGCCAACCGCCTGGCCAGAGAAGGAGTGAGCTTAAAATAACACAACAAGTTCCAACTTTTGAAGATGTAATTTAGGCCAACAGGAAACAATTGACTTGTCCACAAAAACACGGACTCAGAGTCGTCTGTCTGGCGGCCCGTGGTTTCGCAGGCGGTGGGCAGGTCGGATGCCACTTAATGTAAGAAAGCCCGGCAGGTGGGAAACATATTCTGACACCCACATGGAACGTCATCAACCATTGAACTTCCTGGTAGCCACATGTAGCCACCACTAAACAAAGACTCTTCCGAAAGCTGGCCAGGATGGCCAGGATAGCTGTGACAGGCCGAGCGCTGAAGCAGCCCGCACCTCTGACAGGCCTCAGAAAGCAATCGCGAAGACAAGGCCGAAGGACAGCAAGCCTTGAACAGCGCACCCCCGCCAAACAGGAAGGGCGATGTGGCTGAGATCTAGCTTAGTCCGTCAATTTCCAAGGCGGGCAATGTTGGAAGTTGTTTTCCTTGTTTGATGTCAGGAGGATATATACATAAACATATTCTTTGAGATTCAAACAGCCTCAAAAAGAAAGGCCTTTATAGAAAGGGCCTTTGTTCATACGGCCGTTGGAATGGGGGTTGGGGGGGGGGGTTCACGAGCCCCCGATCATAGCATTGGTGTTTGTCATGGAGACCTTGTATCTTGAAGTTCGTCGCTACTGAAGGCTTGGCTAGCTTGAGTGTGTTTCACTACGAGCCAATATCCTTCTCTAATGACATTTTGTTTGGATAACTTATACTTCTTGACTTCGAGCAATTAAAGTGACTTGCCATTTACGTGCTCAAGTGGTTGCAGCCTTTGCAGTAAGAAGGCTAAGGCCGGGCAACTTGGATATTGCGCGAGGTTTGCGCGGCCATCCGTGCTGCGAGCTCCAGGAACGCCAACAGGCTCGTGGTTAGGTTATAGTAGGCGTAGTTCCGCGAAGGCAGTCCTTGAAGAGGAAACGCTGACAATGTTCAACACGCGCTGCATGTTGGAGTTATATCGGGCTGTGAAGCCTGCCGCCCCACATGCCCTGTCTGCTTTCGTTGGCTGGTTAGTGTGTTTTCTTTTTCTTTTTTGTGTTTATTATTATTATTAAACTTTGACTGCGCAGCATAATTCTTTGGAGGGCCCGCCTGCCTCCTGTGGTCAGTTGCACCGGTGCTTGCAACATTGACTGGGAAGGGTCAATGGTTCCTCCACTGCTTGCTGATTGCGTTGCCTGTCAGCAATGCGTTTATTTTGTGCGCGTTTCCATTTGCGTCGCCATTTGCCGAAGCGTCCGGCTTTTAGCTGTGTGCCAGCTGCTCGCGAATGCACATGCGCCATGTTTGGCACAAAACGCAAGGTAAAGCTCCTAGTTACAACCGGAACATCAGCAGCAGGCAGCCAAGCAACGAGTACAGTAGTTTCACGTTTGTTTCGCGGTGTTTCTTGCGCTTCCTGGCCCCGAAGGTTGTGGATTGAAGATGCTGCTGCTGGCTGTTGGGCACTGCGTCACATGAGTGATTGTCTAGACTTGCTCTGCTAGCAAGCTTCAACTCACAAGAAGCATGTGTACTCTTTGTTGCATTTTGCTTGGATGATAGGACTTCAACTTTTTGCCAACTACTGGGTTTTCCATAAAACCACTAAAAGTTAAACTTTTAGCAGGGGAGCAGAAAGCAACCGAGTACTGTGGTCTGTGAGCCAAATAATTTGTGACACACAATTCGCACCAAGAGTCGTGCTTAAAAGCGTGCCGCTTTGCGCACTGGCAGTGACCGCTTTGCGCACTGGCAGTGACCGCAAGTTGAAGGGTCGCTAACTGACGCATGTGAATACATGCCACATTCAGCTGTTCTCCTGGTCTCTGTAATTTGAGTTGCGAGTGTGCCTGTTTGCTGATTTCAGTTCGTCCTGTGAAGTGCTGCAGGGAAACTCGCAGTCCAATCCACGGACCAAGCTACTGTTGTCAGGACAAACGCGCGCTTTGTGTGAACTTACTGACGGCATTGCGGCCGTGTGCTTGAAGCGGCGTGCAATTACGTTTGACTCATGTCACCGGCACTGCCAACCAAGTACTGGGCTGGTTTAAATTGAGTTTGAACGTGAGGTTTGCCACGACCGACCTTTCCAGACGCAAAGGGCTGGAAAATGTCATTGTTTAACGTTTGTTTTCTAGGTTATTTGCTAGGCCGTTCCTCTATGTGTCCAACATGTTGGCCCGAGGCAAGACCAATACCCTGCCTGTTTATGCCAACCTTTGTTTCACATGGTGTGAAAGAAGGTTGATGCTGTTCCGGGAATTCCGACATCGTGCTAAGCCTTTCATTGTGACCGTGACTGATCCAATCAGAGAAGCCAACATGGGAAGCTTTGTAAATCTTGCAACGGCAAGAAAACCCTGTTTATGCGTGAAGCAAGGCTCACTCAAACATCAAGAGTGTTTTCGAAGAGCGGCCAGAAGTGCCATAGCAGAAGGATACGCATTTGAAGGTGTGAGGGTGTGCAATGTAAGGCCTTGACAGGCCCAAAAGGCCGAGCCGTACGGGCTGAGTCGTTTTTAACCTCCGAGTGCCTCATGTTGCTAGGAAGCGAAAGAGCAAAACCAACGATTCTTTTTGGGGGATTTTCTTGGAGGAGTGCGCTTCAGCCGCGCCTACACACCTTCCCCCATGTGCAGCCCAGCCCGCGCAGCCCTGTTCGCGGGCAGGGAGTTTACTAAGATGTGGGTCCAGAGCAACGCCGAGCTACTCGGACTGCTAACCGCGCCAAACAGTCACGGCCATGGACGGACAAACTTTGCCGTTCAGGTTTGAGGCTGCTTTTATGCACACAAACGAAGCAAGACCTTCTGGGAAGTTGTTTTTTTCTTCCGAAAGGAGCTGGTGAAAAGCCTACAGAGAGTTTTTGTGGTCGCCAGGGATGTTTTGCTTGAGTGGGTTTACTGAAGCCATGCGGTACCTTCTCAGGAGGTATTTGGTTTGACAGCCCACAATATTATTTGCAACTCAAAGATCTCACAACCTTTGCCTTACTCCCAGTTCTCATGAACTTTGAAACGTAGGAAGATCATTTGCAAGCGGAAGGTTTTGGCTTTTGCCAGTCCACTCAGGAAGTGAGTTGCTCGGTCAGGGTTCCCCGAAAGGATGCACCCAAACCACCTGCTCCGTCAATGTCCAAGTCAGCTAGTTGGGGGAGGGATTGAGCTGGCCCAGTTGATATGCATAATGGACTCGTGGTTTTGGGAGGAAAAGGAAACCCTCCATCTGCAGATGTTCCGATACAACTCCGTCATTTGGATCTTCAACCTTGGTGATCTTGGTGCTTCAACCTTTGTCCAGGCCAGCTATAAAGGGTAACCAGGGGCGGCTGGTCCTTGGTGTGACCAAATCTACCTTTCTAGAAACAGTTCGACATTTTGCTCAGGGGAAGATTAACCCATAATCCCAGAGGTCAAAATGCAAAGCTACCTACTGTAACGGCTTGCCTGGAAGCTCTGAGTTGTTTGTTTTGGGTGTTTACCCACTAACCCACAAAAGTATGTGTTTATTTTTGCAGCTGTGGCAAAAGTTGTCACTTCAAGGTTTTGGTATGACGAAATGCCGTCGCCCCCGTTGCCGACCTTCATCAATGTGCTCCAAGACGCTGGCTACTTGACCGCTATTGGGTTGGATCTTTAGACTTTACACTTAACTACTGGTTTTGGTTGAAATCCAGTCCGGTTTTCCACTCAACCCACAAAAGGCTTTCAACTTTTTGCGGGCCACTTTTTGTGGTCAGCACTTTTTCTTTGTTGCATTTTGCTTGGATGTTAGGACTTTCACTTTTTGCCAACTCATGGTTTTTCCCCATTATGCCCACTAAAAGTTATTCACTTTGAGCAGGGGAGCAGAAAGCAACTTTTTTTTTTGCGGAGGGGTCCTTGTAGCCAAGGCTACGCGACTATGGTGTCTGGCAAGGATCACTTGGACCGTCCGCCTTTGAAGCAGAAGGCCGTCGAGCAGTCGGGCTTCGACGTCTCCGCCCGAATGTCGGACAAGTACTGCACGTGTTCCGCGGAAAAGAAATCCGAAGCTGACCATTTGGGATCTGATCGTTTATGGCCGAGATTTAGCTTCTTTTTTTTTTTAATCTTCTGGGTTCTTTGGGCAACTGAGGTTTATTTCCACTACCTTATAAGCCTATTGACGAATATGGCGCGTACCTGCGACTTGCCGTTAGGCGAATCAACCTTGTGACCTTTGAGTTTCCCCGTTCCGGGATCCCAAGTCACGGCCCCAAAACGGGATCGATCGCCTCGTTCGTCGCTTTTGCGAGGCAACGCCTGGGCTTGTTCGAGCAGAACTGCCAAGTGC